GAAATTATCTTTATTTACTGGGAAAAAAGAGGGAAAGAAAATAAGAAATAGACTACGTTTCAAATATTAGTACGATGATAATCGTACTAATAATGTCGCTACTTGCTGAGCAACCATAGTTTGGGTTTCAATTATATTATCTGATGCCGTAATGGTATAACGCGTGATGGTATATGACATGTGAACGGCACACAAAAAGATTCAATGCTTGCTTCAAGATTCTTATAATGCCGTAATAATTCCCTTATTATAGTCCATTACTCGAGTGTAATTTTGCATATAGAAACTGAGAGAAATGTTTTTATCACACATCAACATTTTTCTTACAATATAATTACTTTTTAATGATAATGTAATGTACTGTGGAAATTAGCTATGTAATATTTTACGTAATAATGTTCTTTCTATCCGTGTCAAACTATTCTGCTTAATGACTCGATAACATCTCATTAGTGCAGAAAAACTTTTATTAGAAGGAATTAACATTTCGCCAGCGAGGAGGAAAATCGATAACCTTAATCACAGTGCTCGAAGTGCATTAACATCGTGATTACAGAAAGCGAGTACACGAGGTTTAAACGTGATCTAGACATGACTCATTTACATACCTTTCGCGGATATTCGTTCGTATTTTTTTTTTTATTATTTAGAGCGAGAGAAAAACGCACGCATATGTTTATCAATAAGTAAAAACGATTTCGCGATCATAATTACATGTGCCGTACCCTTGTTATCGAGATATATGTGTTGAATGTATGTGTTGAAAACCTTTTATATCATTTTATCGCGGTAGCTGCGCATCGTGCTCAAGCATATGATTGTTGTCTGTTGTCGTAGCTTTGTCATGTACAGAATGCTACACAGGACAAACAAATTTTACAACTGCTTTATTGCGTGACTCTTGACGTCTGTAAATTCAGAGCTCATTTTCTTTCGGTAAGCTCGATTGTAAAATGTATCAAACATCGCGCTCTCGCGTGCGAATCGTTGTTGCGTCGCATCGCGAAATGCGACTTGTTAATATCCGATTTAAATTCCGAGTTAAATTCCGATTTCTACCTAGTTCTTACTTGTTTGGCGCAAGAATATGGAATTTGTGTTGACATATCATTTATTTTTTAGTGCTTTCACTCTAAGATAAAATAAAAGCGATAATATCTAGGAGAAATATCCAAAGTAAAATCATATTCAAAGATCACACTTAAATTTCATGCATTTGTTTCTCGTGTAACGTTGACATGTTCCAAGAGAGAGCACAATGATTAGTATTATTTCTTTTCTTGATTAATATTATTTCTACCAATGATTATTTTTTTTCTTTCTCCAGATATTCCTGCGAGTAAGATTCGTTCTACGTTATTCGAATTGTCTTTACCAACTTGATATCTTAAACTGCTTCCCATAAAATTATAAAACATGCTGCAAAGAAACTAGAATTTTATTGTAGCATGAGTCATACCCTATATCTGTAGCACATATTACAAATTCCACTACAGACCTAAATCGCGCAGATTATTCTGTTTCTTGAAACGTGAAAATATAACACACTAATCGTTGGAATAACAATTCAAATATCGCAGTAAATAGTTGACCTAAGTGACGATTTATCATTATTTACTCGTAGCTCTCGAATCGACTTTATAATCTTAGTGAGCATAACGCCGGATACCGATAACAAACCGTGAGTTCTAAAGCCCCCTACGCGGCTCTGTCTTTTATTGCAAAATTACGGCTAAACATATTCTCCACATTTCATAAGTGCAAAGTACATTCTATGAAACGATATCGGATGATATACATTACAGCAACAAAATCTGGGATCTTTATAATCTGTGTAATCTCGGCGAATGAATCCATTAGACATCTTATTTGTTGCAAACAAACAACAAGGTATGACCTGAAAAATTAGCATAGCTAAAAAATGCACTAAAGTAGCGCATCTTCCGTCACCTTAAAAGAGTTTTTTGACGAAGAGTACCTTTAAATATGATGGAATATCTCACGATATGAGTATAACAGCAAATCGACTTTCGACTATGTTTCAGATAATACGAGAATGTCACATCGATTTGCCGTCATTGTACGATGTTTATCAATAATTAAAATGCTGACAAATATCACAGATACGGCACACAAGACAGGAATACGTTCACATCGATTTTCGTCGCGTATTTAATTGCAGCATCATTTCAGACAATCATAATTGCAGCACAATCATAATTGCAGCATCATTTCAAACAAGCAACGAATATTTTCGTTACAAACGTGCGCAAGTATACGCACGATATCGTCTAATAGATAAGCTTGCACGGAACGTCCGCAGGGATAATAACCGCGATATTTAACAGTCGGATGCAGTCAGTGATAATCAGTTCGCACCCGATTCCACGAGCTGCATCAGATTACACGTGTTTGTCGCCGAGCGCGTCCTCGAGAGAAGTGCAATTAACGACAATTGTTAAGGGAAACGCATTTTTTATTTAAGGTACGTCTCATAAATAAGGTCTCACTTAAAACTTAAAAATCAAGAATCAAATTCAAAAGAGAAAGGTTAAGAATATAATCCCTTGAATAATGTCTCAAATTTTTTCACGAAGAATTACTTTCGCGCGCATCGTGCATTCTCCCGCAGACTTGCGACATAATCGCGCTCAAGTTATGCAATTGCCGACGGTGTACGTCAAGCAACAGGTGTAATTAATGGCAGCATAGGTGAAGATACCGTCAATCGTTATCACCGAATAATGACACACGTGCAAAAATCGACGAGAGAAAAATTCACAATAAATCCTACAGAAAATAAGCGTCACCCGGTTTTATCGGCAGACACGGTATTTCCCCGTTTCAATGTAACGATCATCATGGAGTAACGTGAATCCCGAGCGTAGAGACCGTATGTATTTACGTGCACGGAATGCCAACTACATAACGTATCGGCGATATTCATGACGCACGCAATACTCATAGCGTACGCATGGAAGGACGAAACGTATATTCGTTAACAAGCGAGTTAAAGTTTGCATGAGCGCATACGCGCATAGACGATCGTTTCGCCGAGGTGAGCATCCTAAAACCTCATTAAAAACTCTAAGACGCAAGTCGTTTGACTTACGTCATACTTAAGTGTCGTCATCGTTCGTAGGAATGGTCTATAAAAATTTATTTTACGAGTCTTTTAGAAAGAAACGTATTCCCAAGTAAAAAATTTTAAAGTGAAAAGTTTAAAAGTGGAAAACTTAGAAATGAAAGTCAGAGCGTGAAATTTTGTGAAAACCCTTTGAAAGATAATGATCTTTTGAAATCTTTGAGAAACGTGGAGACCGTATGTTTATTTCGAAGAATAATGCACGGGAGTTAAAAAAACAAAAAATGCAAAACAGAGTTTCAACGTACTCAAAATAGGATTTCAACAAGAGCCTTGTATATTTTTATACCTGTCCTTTCCGACCTTTCAAAACCATTTGTCGCTATAACTCACTGTGACTGCATTGGAAGGTCATTAAATGAACTACGTGACGGTCATGCCAGAAAGCTTATTAAGCTAGTGTCACATGATAAATGATTTTATTTCTTTAAGTTTAGAAAAGACCCTTTTTTAAGTTTAGAAAAGACCCTTTCTCTAAGTTTAGAGAAGACGGGTATAATAATAGTAATGAATCTTTCAAATATCATTAGTGTTAATATGCCAGTGAATGCTAACAAACAACTTATATTTATGTTTATATATATATATATATAATTTATATTTATAAATGAATGAGCGTGATCTTATCCTAATCTTAAAGCCAATAATCTACTCAATATCCTACATTACTTATCGATTAATAAGAGAAGCTTACGCATTCACGAATTGCGACTTGTTTATCATATTTCCTCAATTTGTCAGGAACTGAAAGAGAGAGAGAGAGAGAGAGAGAAACAAAGAGAAATATGATAACTGATAAAAATTTGTCGATCAAAAGTAATGCACGTCGGCTAGCATTCTTTAATTTTTAATTCCTATTGAATCAAACCAAATAGCAACAAATTAAACTTTCATACTAAATACTCGTTAAGAATATTTTTTTACTATTTAATCTAGCTTCCGAAATAGTGCCACGTTCTTCGTGAATTTGTTCACGAAACGTTGACGCAAAAATAAATAAACCTGCGATGATTTAGATTTCGCGGTGTAGAGAAATATTTGATTTGATTTCCAGGTTTGTATGTGTCTGTGTATGCGATATTCATCTTGGATTTGTTTCCAACATTTCGTGAACTGGAATGTACACGAAATGTCGAAAACAAATTCAAGATGGATACAGTACAAATCTGAAAATTATATAATCAAATATTATTCTGTGATTTCTCTCTTTGCACATAGAATCACATTACCCACGATTTTATTTTTATTCTCTTTTATTCTATACATAATAAATTTTGTCGACGAGCAGACAATTAATACTTAAATAAATACGAATGCAACTTTGTTTATTTCAATAACCTTCAATATTCTAAAACTTGCCGACACAACGTTATTACTTGAAATGGCCTTGGAGAAACCTTACTTCAAACTATTGTCCTGTGTGATTTTCTTAGCTTTCTCTTTCCATAGAAAACAGAGAAACCCGACTTTCAATCCAACTGAATGAATAGTTTTTATGATAGAAATCCACTTTTGAATCTGAACTGATGTACTGAAAAATTTAGATTGACGATATTTCGAAAATCTCCAATATATGATGCTCGAAAATAATCCAAAATAAAAAAGAATTATAAAAACGAATGTTATATTTAGATAATATTTATTAAAGAAAGTAATTCACGTTGGAATATCGATTATAAGAAAATTTTTTGGAAGAAAATATCGACTCCTTAGAGATTATAAGATCAATGTTTTGAACAACAAATAGGAATGAAGTATACCCCACTCTATCCCACAGTCGACCAATAAGATTCCAGTTCCTAGTCATAAAAAGTGGTACACAAAAGAAAAACAAGAAAGAGGGAAGAGAGGTCCCCACTCTGTGTTGTTGCGTTCAGTACATAACGAACTTGTATATTCTAGCCTCTTTTACAGATCATTTACAGATCTTAGTCTCTAGTTTCCTGTGCTTCTCAGTTGAGCGATCAGTGTTCATTGGAACTCACACGGGCAACGCAGAAGAGAGTCTTATTAATTTCTGACGCGCTCACGGGGCGATTCGTAATTTACCTTAGAATTCGACTCCCACCTTCCACCAGACTGACGAGATAGCGCACGTGCATACTCGTCAAGACAGGTATACGAGCAAAGAACGAGGAGGTAGTGACAATCGAGTTACGGCTTCCTTTTATCAGTCAAGCCGAACCGTGCGAGGTATACGGATCAACCGACACACCGATCGTGCGCTCAAAAACCGGAGGAAGCAACGTTTCCGTTTTTATATTTAGTGCATATGGTTTTTGTCATAGCACTAAAATCTTGACGACATACTTCGCGCATTCTTATATCTTCGGGCAGCCTTTTGTGAAATTTCTCGTGAAAAAAAATTACGTGAATTGCACACGGAAAAAAGACCACATCAATTTTCATCAAAGATCATCAAAAGTGTGAAAGCTTTTGCAATTATCGTAATTAACGGATTTTCCACAAGAGAAGAGCTATTGAAGAAGTTGGACACGCTGGCGCACATTCAACTTGAGATATCTTTGTGAGTATTGACACACTTAATATATATATACATGTATATATATGTATGTATATATATTGTATGTATACCGTCTTATACCTTTGTTTCTTCTTTTCACTTTCCTGTTCTCTCTCTCTCCCTTTTTTTATTAGTAGCTAGTGCAATTCCGATAGTTCTATTGTCTGCCAATCGTATAGATAGTTTCATTGCCTCGATAAAATATAGACAGATAAATTTATCGATAAATGTAACTCAAGTAAAGCTGTTGTATATTTTAATCCACGAGAATACAAGTAGATTTATCCAGCGCGCGAAAATATATGCGCCCGTAAATTTTCATTTATAGCACGTTCCAATCTTATATGTATAAAGAAAAAAGGACGGAATCATTTACTTGCATTAAAGAATAAAAATAAATTAATAACATTTTGTAGACTTTGAATAAAACAAATTAAACTGTATGATAAATAAGAATTGGAAAAGATATTTTACAATATTGTTTAAATATTTAAAAATTAACAATTGCATAATGCAAAAGCAAAATATACAATGATTGATATTTCTTGAAGATCAGTTCAATATAATGAAACAAAGTGCAAAATCTGCAACATGACGTTTAAAGCCTTTTCGATGTTTAATTTTTTTTAAGTCAACATAAGTCATTCTTAGTAATGCATTCTTAATTTACCAGTTAATGTATCTATCTATCGTCGCCATAATGTTGTGGAGGCATTCAAAAGAACGATTTAACCATTTGATTTAAAAATTTAGTCTTTTATTGTCTGTGTGAAAATAAACGTGCTTTGAAAACGATTATCGTATACGATAAACGCGATTTTGAACATAATGATTACCGTGAACGAAGTCTAAAGTGGAAGTGTATTGTTTGTCTGGATTATATGCGGCTTGCAAGGATTATATCGTTCGACATACAGCGATAATTTGATAATGCATCACGAGGATATTTGTACAATGGTTTACAAAATGATTGATAAATGACGGAGTGTATAGTCGGGCGCAGACTGTAAACCAAATTATCGTAATTATATCATATTAATATCAAACTTATTTACTGAACTTAATCGAGCTTAATTGAGCAGATGAATAATAATATGATAGAAGTTTCGGCGGTAATTAATACACACATACACAAAGAGAGAGAGAGAGAGAGAGAGAGAGAGAGAGAGAGAGAAAGTACGTTCTGTGTCAAAATTAATCATTCATTTATTTCATCGGTCATGTCAGCAAAAATTGACAAATTGCTATGTCATACTGTTAATTATCGTTTCTTGATTATTTTTCCTTTATTTCGGCCCAATCATCTTGAAATCTCCTAATCTTCCTGATCGAATGCATGTGCGGTCAATTTTGCTCGATTTAAATTTCTATATTTTCGCGAATTAAAGATCGCGGAACTGTTGCGCTCGAACGTGGAAAAGGTGCGTGCGTCCCTTTCTCGCACGCGCACGCGTAATTCAATTCTGGCGACACGTGCGATCAGATTAAATCGCGCCGCGAGAGAACGAGTTGTCTATCACCCCCACGGCGCTCTTGCTGATTCTGCATATAAAGTTACGCGAGACCTCAGAACGTTGGCTGGTCGGAGCAACGACTTGACCGGTCGTAATTATCGCGTTATCAATCACCGAAGACATATCGCGATTTAATTTTCTTTTTTAGAGTATCGATAATAAGACAATATAGTTTATATATAGACAAGATTGGCGCTCTGTTAACAGCAAAAAAAAATTCTTTTTTCTCATTTCTCAAAGAAGTAAATTATGTCTTTTAATTAAGTATTGATTAATTAAGTTTATATTTACTTTCGAACAATTTAGATTAAACGATGGTGGATAGGAGTTTTAATCATTGACCGATTAAACAGTCGATGTTAATTTAATTCCTAACATTCTATCATATCAAGTAAGTAACGTTACTGACTCAAGACTTGATATTTTTGTAATTTCTAGAAGAGTTTCGACAAGTAGAAAGGCGCCACTGATATACAAGTTTGTACCTAACATTATCTTTGCAAAGAATACACACAAGAAGAAGCCCAAGTTAAATTATTCGACATTATTTGATATTGATTTTCTACCCAATGAACGTTCTTGCTGTCCGTTTTATGAATTATGCGAGATGCTACTCTCCCTCTTCCCTCCTCTCTCTTGACGAACGATTAGGTTTATATTAAACCATCGATTTCATACATTTATAAGATTTCCACGATGAGCGCGCGAGTTTTCAGGTTTCCGCTCCTGAAACACGGGTCTAATTTAAGCTCTTGGACACCATCTGCGTCCCAAGAGAATCGCATTACGTGTACGTATACGTAATAGTTTCATGTGACCGGATTTTGTGATTTCTATAATCATAGTCTCTCCATATCTTTCTTGCATCCTCGTGTTCTTGTCGTTGATCATTCTTCACTTCTTTTGTTTCCTTCTTCAGCAAAATAAGTTTAACTTATTATTATATACTTAGTATATGTAGTACAGTGACAAACAACTTTTACATTTCCGCTTCTAATTGTCATATCGTATTTTCTTTTCCATAGGTTGAAAATAGGCAGAAGCAATGTAAATTTATGGCGGATCGTTTCTAAGGTCCTCCTTCTAAGGTCTTTTACAAGATATTACAACATTGTATGTCAATACCAACCTCGGTATGTGTTGAATTTATAAAACAAACTACTAGGTTATATAAGCAAAATCTATATATTTCGTGAAATTCTTAAGCAAAATATTTAGAGTTCAAGTATCTGCATGTAATATCCGTGTGATATTTGCAAATGAATTTTTGGGCGAATTTTGACGTTGATAATGTCAATTCAACATAATTTTAGTGACAGAAATATTTTATATTTAACAGCGTATTTCGTTCATTTGCATAGCTAAATGATACAACGATTGCTTAACGAGCATGTCGAAAAGAGTATTCTCGTCTGATCAAAGTGTTCGATTTCAGCCATGGTCGTTTTTCCGCACTCCGTGACTGAACCAGTGTTCCTAAACGGTGATGGTCTTAGGCCACCCAATTACGAGATTAGCATTGATGTGCCGGAAAGTATAAGTCCCAGAAAAGTGAAAGATGAGGCATTTACCATACCCCGTGTCACGATGGCGAATGGAAAGACTAATTATGCATTGGAGATCGAGAACATTGATAAGATCGGCAAGATGGACACTTCGAAGGAAAACATTAATGCGGAACCTGTCATTGTAAAGAAAGTCGCCGGTAAGCAATATCACCGCGATTAACACTCATATTGTAATTTTGTGCTTTGAACATATTTGAAAGAGTTACTGGCTCACATTTAGTACCTTAAAAGTTTGATTATTCCGACTCCAAGACCGAAACGATGAACGTATTCAGAATTAAGAACATGACCACACATAGACACACATGGACATGGACACATAGACATACTTTTACCTTGATACAACAGCACTTTCAATCTTTGATCAAGTGTGTACTTGAGAGTCTTATTCTTTGTAAAACTTTACTGAGAATGAGATGCAAAGTGTATGTGACTAGACTGACCGATGACGTAAAACCGAACAACACTTAATAGAAAAATAGAAACTACGGCAAATAAATTATGAGGTAAGCAAATTATGCTAGAAAACCGATAATTTCGTGCTCGAAACAAAACGGTTCACTTATCGACTTATAGATGTATATTGGCTTACATGTAATAGCTTTGTGCTACTTCTATTTCCTTCGTGTTTCCTCTCACATTTTCCTCTTAGTCTATATTCTATTACTTCCATTTGCTCTATTATTACATTACCGGCAAGCGCAAATCTTTTTTTATTTTTTTGATAATTTGACTTTATTAACGAAAACAAAAACGACGAGCGCAAGGGTACATCGCCAAACTGAATATCGATCTTGAATTGAAAGCAACAGCGATATATGAAAAACGCTGTACACCTACAAAGCGAACTGAACGTCCACGTTGCGCCACGTAAAATTTGCGGGTGTCGCGCGAATTTATTTGAGATATAAATTCCCGCAGTTTTGCACAATTAGCGAACGACGAGTGCAATATGGCGAGACGCGGTCTGTTCAGTAGACAGTTAAGGCTTGATAAATCCCGAACATAATCGATAACACCGATAACACCGTGAGTCCATTCCGTGTCTCTCTAACACGCGGAATTCTGCACCGAGGTGAAGAGGTGAATGAATTAATCGTCGCTCGTTGTGTGACAAATCGTTCATGAATACAATGACGAAAGGTTCCGCGGTATACACAGTGATAATGACGACGAAATGACTGTCTCAATAATGATGTGTCATGACCGTAGAATTCAGAGTAGCGTGAAATCACACTGGTTCACAACGGGGAGGATGTGCGTTCAGTGACCGTGTCGTGCCGCTTATGCGTCTAGGCTAAATGTAATTCTTCATATGTTCACACGCAGATAACGAAACGTTGAAAGCCGTCAGAAAACCAATTATCTGAGTCGGTGAATTTTTCAATCTCCGTTCATTTAAGGTCTCCTTTTCTTGACTAAATCTTGACTAAACAGACGGCACACGTGAGAATTGTCCACTTCTTCACTTTTAAAGCGTGTAATGACGCGACATTACGATAATAAGTTCCAAATTTTCAATTATTTTCCCTCAATTAATCTAATTATATTTATAATTCTATTTAATTAAATCTCTTATTCCTCCACCCATTAATTAATGGGCCAACGATTTATGTAACACAATGTGACGACAGGTCAGAATGATTTCAAAGACAAGTACAAGGTCAGTTAATTACAGTCCGGACAAAAAATGTTACCGCGTACATGTGACTTTCAATTAACACAGATGCCAATTTTCTAGTTCTTCACTTTTAAAACGTATAACGATACGATAACGGGTCCCAAATATCCACATATATTTTCCCCGATTAACTCAATTATATTTGTAATTCTATTTAATTAAATCTTTTATATTTCCATCCGTTAATTGGTTGACAATTTATATAACATGTTACAACATGTATTGGCAGCTGGCTTAAAGTGTTCCAATGGCCAAGACAAGGATAACAAAGGAATGTCTGGCGACAACCCTGACGACAAAGGTGGAGGATCATTTTCTAGCGGCAGCTCTATCGTAACAATCACATCGTCGGCCTCTGCTACCTCGGGACCCGATCCAAATGATCCTAATGGTCCGAAGGGAAATGGGAACAAAGTAGACATTAGGACCGAAAAATGGTGCTACACAATCCTACAAGTTTCGGTGCCTTTCTTCGTGGCTGGTGTCGGCACTATCGGTGCCGGCTATATTCTCAACACAGTGAAGGTAAGAATTGTGTTGGGACGAATGTAAAGTCGGGAAAGAAAGAATTCGAAAGTAGCATAAATCATATCCTCTTTTTCCTTCGACTGTCCCTTTTATCTTCAGACGATAGCAAATACGCTATCGTCTGAAGATAAAAGAATGTAGATCTATTGTGCCAAAGATCGCTTCCATTCTCTCTTATCGAGACTGATGCATTTTATCGATCACGAGAAGTAGAATACGATGTCGTTCTTGACATGACACTGGCGCAATTGTATAAGCATCTCAAGTACCGCCGACATTCTTAAGTAACGTTGATCTCTAGCAGAGATTTGCGATTGTAGCTTGTTCAAGATCATAAAACCGTATGATTAGTAAAGCCAGATAATCGCACGTCAGGCTTTATCGTGAATTTATATTATTTTTGAGCCATGCCACACTTTCAAATACCCGAACAACGATATATAGGCCGACTCATCTGTTTTTCATAGAACACATTTACCACGGCATAAAATAATATCTCAAATTCCTGTAATTGTAATGACGTTCTTAAACGAGTGAAAAAGGAAGACTAACAAATCTCACACACACACACACACACACACACACACACACACACACACGTCTATATAGAACAAATAAAAACTATTCGTTGAATTGCAAGTTCTTTCATCAATCGTTTAAAATTTAATAAATTTCTATGATATTTCTTTCAGTTTTTTTTTTTTCGTTGCAGCGTTACAATTAGCAAACAGTAATTTCTAGAATGCGTTGAATTATAATCAACGCCGAAGCACACGAAGAAGCAAGAAAATAATCGACTCACGTCAAACTCCCCCTCAAATTGTTCTGATTGTTATTTTTAAATTCTAATGTTTTTTCGCATCTAACGCTCTTATGTTCGATTTCAGAACAGGCCTGTGTTCAAGGAAGTCTCTCAATTGCTGATCTTAGTGCCAGCGCTGCTTGGTTTGAAGGGCAATCTCGACATGTGCTTGGCATCGCGGCTGAGCACGCAAGTAAACTTGGGCAACATGCACAACTTTCGGGAGACTGTGAAGATGATTATCGGCAATATCGTCCTGGTGCAAATCCAGGCGATTGTCGCGGCCACCTGCGTGGCGCTGTTCGCTATGACGGTGGGCGCTATCACCATGAATAATACTTTCGTCTGGAATCATGCGGTGTTGCTGGCGACCTCGAGCATCAGCACAGCGACCAGTTCCTGTTTTATCTTAGGTAAACCTCTCACCTGCTTTATTAACATTAATTAGCGAATGCCGCTTGCGCCCGCACCCATAAGTCGACACCTGTCGAGAGACCTGTCGAGAGATTATCCGTGTGCGACCGTTTGCAACGTTGTCTCCGTTCATCCATTTGATCGTCGACCATTTGATTGGCGACGATTGCTGTCGCAGCTTACAACTTAGATGCACATTACTTAATTATAAATGCGCACTTTAATATGTTCGCGATACATAAAGATCCACATGTTTTCCTCTTTTTGTGCACTACGGATTTTTATGCCAACGCGGAAATTTTTCTGCCTCAAGCGTACGAACGTTCCAATATCTAGCTGAGAGATCACGCGAACTGTCGCGTTTCACATGCATGCGATTCATGCTACCCTCTCATTAAGATCCAATCATCTCTCCTTCGCAGACTTCCTTTTGATCGGTGTGATCATGTTATCTTACCGATTTAAAATGAATCCGGACAACTTGGCGACTCCCTTGGCGGCATCCTTCGGTGACGTTGTGTCCATTAGCGTTTTATCCGGTATCTCATCGCAGCTCTACCTTAGGTTAGACAACGAGATATGGATATTGTACGTCGTTCTCGCGGTCTATATATTCATGCTCTTGCCATGCTGGGTTGTGATTGTACTGAAGAACAAATACACCAAGAAAGTATTGAAATCTGGCTGGGTTCCGGTATTATCCGCTCTCTTCATCAGTGGGTTAGTTCAACTCAGCATTGTTTGATTAATATTTCGTGTTAAATATCGTTCTATATAATTTCTATTTAATTCTCTGTTTAATTCTCTGATACCTAGCTTCGGCGGATTAATTCTTGATCGCGTTGTCAACGTGTACCAAGGATTTGCTATTTTCCAACCCATTATTAACGGTATTGGTGGCAACCTTGTGTCAGTACAAGCATCTCGTACTTCTACAATGCTCCATCAGTCTTCCATCATGGGGATTCTGCCACCAAGCGCCAAAATATTTGTAGCACCATGGAGAGTGCTTTTCAAAGGACGTAAGTAATTAATTCAAGTCTACTTTAAAAAAAAATGCATTTATGCTAAAATTATTATTGCTCAATCTTCTGTACATACGTATATTTTCCTTCCATTATATTTCTGTCTCTGTTTAAGCAGACAAATACTTTGTCTTAAATAACATTTCTAATAGAAAAATTTGTCATATACTTGTTCATCAACTGACAGTTTTTATTATTTGTAAACAGTTCCAACTGCTAAGACTGCTAGGCTGCTTATTGGCATGGCGATCGTCGGTCAGTTAATTTTCGTCTTTGTCGCCGATTACGTGAACGATGATAACTGCACGTTGCACGCATACTTCGTAGTCGCCTATTTGATTGTCTCTGTGATACAAGTAAGTTATGCAACAGAGACTCGATAAGTTTCTATTCTGATTAGAAATACAAGAGCCAGCTGATATAACAATTTTTTTTATTATTTCACAGGTAATGTTCCTATTATACATCGCGCACATAATGATCCATGCAATGTGGCGGTACAAAATGGATCCTGATAACTCGGCGATTCCATACTTAACGGCATTGGGAGATCTCAGCGGATCGCTGTTTTTAGCATTGGCCTTTTGGTTCATATACGCAATAAATAAGCAATACTGCGCGAGTGAATAAATTTGTGGTATAACGCAGGACGATTAAACTTCAAACCAAAACGGTCACAAAAAGAAAGCGTTTAGTAAATGACAACTTTTAACGATAATCTTACTAACGAGTATAAATGAATTAATAATGGTCACCAAGACAATTTGAATCCACTATCTCACGGCATTTGTAATGACCGGCAGGATGGAATAAGAAATAATAGCCAGACAACTCGATTAGTATTCTCGAAAAAAAAAAAGACGCAACACAGCCAGAACGATATTGGAAATAAGAACGAGAGATGTAGAGAGAAAAATACTCACATTAGGAATATAGTTTACACAATCATTGTTTGCGTGAACGAATGATCCAAGATTGCAGGACAAACGCTATTCATGCAAGATTGGTTAGTCGAAATTAATGCGCGATAATTATAGTAATTTTAGGAAGCGTAATTTCCTTCAGCATGTCACCCGTTTTCCCGACGACATGAACATCTCACAAATTAATAGATCCTAGTCAATGTATTAGCAAAAATTTAACGACATCTAAAAGACGTTTAAAGAATAAGCTACATCTTTAAAACGTCGGTCATTTAGAAATCATTTAGATATTTATACTGTCTTATTTATAATAGTCGCGATTGGAAATAAGACAGAGGCATAATATCATTGCGCGACGCAGTTTTAATTTTAAGATAAAAGTCATAATTTATATAGAATCATGAACAGTCGTGAGTAAGCGAATGCATCTCCAAGAAATCGTAATCTTGAGGCCTTGCTAGACAATCTGCCAATATAATGTACTAATGTTAAACAAAAAGATATTCACGAATAAGCCCATTTTAGTCGATCTGTAACTCCACAAAATAATAAAATTTATTTTTAACTTCATGTAACGTGCAAAACATTCGAAGCAAATATATTTCTGATTTTATACATCTTATCTTATAAATTTTTGTATCTGCGCTGACTTCTGCAAATTGTCTAAAATGGACTTAATGAATGAGCAGTTTTGAATATGCATATTTGCAAATAACGTGTGTTAAATACATATTATAGAAGATATATATTAGTATATATTATATATGTACTAATATATTTATAAAACGTACATTTTTATAAGCAAGAAATTTTTCGATATATTTTTATAAAATTATTATATATGTGCTAATATATAGCTAATATATACATATGTATTTACAAACGCATATTCAGCTTGAGAATACATTTTGTCCGCTATCATATACGTAACGTTATACAATTGCGACTGTCAAAATGACATTCCAGTGCTACGCTAACTGCACATCATTAAAGCAAATGTTGATCGTGATTCTCCCTCCCGCTGACTTACGTAGTTACTTTATTTAATTGCGTAAGTAGTCTTTGAATCAATGGTTACATAATACACATTGGACAACATCAAGTAATTAGTTTGCGTCAATTACCAGTCCTCGAACACGCAAAGAATTGACGTTTTTACCATGCATTTCTGATGTTTAGAGTATCATGATATTCCACGCTGTTTCACAGCAATGTTAACGCAATTTAACTAAATTTTGAAGTTTCTCAATTATTCAAATCATCATTGAATGAAACAGTTTAACAACGTTCATTCTTTTCTCCAATATTCGTTATACCCACGAAATTTAAACTTAATATTGCAAACATACCGCATGCAAAATTTTCAAAATTTAACCAATATATTTAACATTTTAAAGCTGTCAAATATGTAAGATATAAAATCTGCTCGATTTTTGTTTTTTTTTTAATATTTTTAGGACAAATCATTTTTGAGTATCATGTGTGTAACATATAATATTTATATACTCTTGTATGCATCTTCAGGACAATTATGCATAATTCGTACATATTGTTTACGTAATTAGGCATTTTAATTATCTTTTGAAAGTAATTTCTGTTATTTTAAGCATTTTACTTGTTACAGCAGTTTGATTAAGAACCTGATGCATTTTATTCTATTCAATTGGACTATCAGTGATTCACATGAAAAGTAACAGCATTTTTCTTTCAATGAGTTTTAATATTATTCACTGTTTTATTATTATCTAATATTGAGAGTCGCAAAACTATGTTGTTGATTATTATATTAATCATCCATTTTTCCCAATGAATACATGTACACCATAATGTACAAATTATACAAACTCAGGTATAATCATCTTGTGAATAGTATTTATTACCCCCTCATAGTATCCCTATGAATCCCTATAAAGAAATGTATTTATCTGCCATCATTCTATTGAATAATAGTGTTAAATACTTTGACATTTATAAACCGTTTTAGTGATTAATTAATAAAATTGTAAACAAAAAAGTAAATTTCATATATTTTATAGCGAATTATTTATCCAAAAATCATTGTAAATGCGAAATAACTGTAGATGACCGCAAAGCAATATTTTTAACAAAAAATTTTTAATCATCAAAATTTGATGTTTCTTTATCTTTGTGTCTCTTTATCTTTGAATTTTTCAATTTATGTTAGTTAAAAAATAAATATAAAGCAATCGCAAATATACCGTTTGTTCTATCTATACACTATGTTCTATCTGATGGTTGTTCATTTGAAAAGTAAACGCCATATTAGGTAGACGTATTTTAGGGCTATAAGATTATCGAACGAGTTTATCGACGGCGTCTCAACGATATCTTACTACTATGTCAAACGCACGGAATATATTTTCGGCCACTCTGCTCGGATACTTCTCACGCGAGATTATCTTTCAATCGGTCAAAAGCGTAAAAAGCAAAAATTTGAATCTCCCGAACGTATCGTGTTACGACAAAACGTACTTGGAACATTTTACACCTGACCACGAGATGTATACTTTCTATTTGGTTATTTAACGATATTCTTCTATGGAAAATACCCCCCCTATAGAAACTTACCCCCGGCATTTTCGGCGATCACAATGTATCACAGCATGAGACTCGCTTTCGGTGAATGAAAATTGCGAGAAACGTCCTCCCTGAGCCCGAAATGGCGCCATAATCCATTCCGAATCTACCATAAACATCGCGATGGATTGTTCTTCTTTTTGAATGTTCTGGCTGCCGACGCCACGGTCTATAACGCCAGACCTTATCGCTGTGATATTGAGATCTACAAAATCGAATCACAACGAAATCATTTAACTTATTATTTATTATATAATTGCGCAACACGAAATACAGAAATTGCTCGAGATAACCCTAACAATTAAAACACTCAAATCAATGGTATCGTCCGAAATTGTTCATTAATCTCAATTATTATACTGAAACTATATTATATGACATTGAAACTGCGTTTGAGAGAGAGAGAGAGAGAGAGAGAGAGAGAGAGAGAGAGAGAGAGAGAGATTCACAATAATGGAAGTATTCGCCGAATTACCTGATTGTATCACAGCAGGTTCCAGCACTTTCACGACGACTCGAACTCCGTCATATCGAATTCATATGAGAAAAACGGTTGTACCCCTTTCGAAAACGAATCATTCGAGATTGTGTTTCGATATCACGCCTCGCGATCGATACTACCTCTGGTGTTGAACGTTGCATCGACATGACCTCTGGAGGAGGAACAAGCCTCTCTTACTTGCCGACGATGGAAGCACGGCAGAAGTCCTGACTGCGCGCCGCGCCGCGCCGCCGGCGGCGCTGTCGTCGCGGCGGTCAAAGTATCGACGCGCCAGCGACGGGCGAACCTGTGCGTAATACCTGACCGCTGGCACACCACAGCCTGGGCCGACGCGGTCTGCGATAACGGTGTGTGTACAGGTTCGTAAAGTATAATCCCGCTCGTCGATCGTGTCGACGTCATCCGCGCGCCGCGACATCGTTTTATTCACCGAGATCGCTGAGGATCGCGCTACCTCGACGCGGTCTCAGCTGCAGGACGAACGGCCATCCGCGACGACGCGTCGACGATCGTCATCGTAGGAGTGTGTACACATCGTCGGCTTGTATACACCACGGTGTTCGCGGCATTCCGCTGAGCAGCCAGTCCGTTCCTACAGCCGATTCTCCGTTGTCCTGCTGCAAGAGATCGACGCTCGGCCTCGCCTCGCCTCGCCTCGTCTCGTCTCGTCTCGTCTCGTCTCATCTCATCTCGCCTAATCGAGCCAATCATTATGCCCGCGCCGATTCGCGCGCGCCTGTTGCTACCCCGCTGCGTGAGCGATCTCCAGGCAAAAGGTAATCATGATGTTGATTCGAGCCCGGAACCCCGAGTCTGGAAACTCCGGGGCTCCGACGACGACGAGATCGCCGTTTCCTCGTAACTGCGCTTCCTCCGTAACCTCCGCACTCTTTGCTCTCCTGTGCTTGTGCATGTTCGCATTGTGCAAAGTTCCGTTCTCCTCTCGCCCTCTCAATACGAAGAATGCAGGATAGGGCGCAGCTGCGAGGGCAGGCAGACCTGCCTGCACTACACCGCGCCGATTCCCGGCCTCGGCCGGGTAACGAAGGGCGTAGTACCTGTGTGTGACGAAGCGCCTGCCCTATAAGTCTGCCGCCCTAGTAGCCCTTTCTTTGCTGTCGATCTTGTTCTTTTCTAATCTGTTACAGTTATCTATTCGTCTCGGGACGAAGTACACCGCGCTTGCTCCTGCTCTCTCCTTGAGTGTATTTGTTCGGTGATTGCATTCGTTATTTCTAGCATTCGTTATTTTAGACTGGAATTTTTACGTCTCAAAGTCGCACCAAGTCGACGCGGAATCGGACTGAACTCGACGATCACTCGTCTCGACCGTCTCGTTTGTCTCTAACTATATTTCTAATTTCGCTTGAAATCAATGTTTATCTGTATTTCAAACAGTTGCAGTTGTCTCTGAATTTCGGCAAAGAAGAGTGGCGGGAGTGAACGGATTATTTCCTTAATGTTGTCCGTTTTCTTTGATTGCTACAAATGTGTTTATAACGCTGCTTTCGATGGACGAAACCGCCGTACGAGCTGAAAACTCGGGTACCAGCAATTTTTATGGTATATTAATTACATTTACTAGACACATAGTTGCCGGATAATGAACTTTGGTGACTTTCAGATTCGAATTTTTTAAATTGAAACTTTCATTATGAAAACAGGAGGTTAAGCCGGTCACTTATAACATTTAGATATTAAATCTAAAATCTTCCTTAAAGTCAATCTGTACTTTATAAATTATATAAATTCGCGTGAATTTTGCATTCTTAATGTTTCCAAGCAACAAGATGAAAAGTAATTGTTATTTTCAGTCATTTTTGCATGTTCGGATTGTATGTCAAACAAATGTGCTTGGATAATCTATTTGTAGATTGCGCTTGACCGCGGCACCTAACCGACCACTTTGACGCGAGACTCGTCGGACTAATTTTGCGTCTTGGAACACACCACCGCGATGTTGTAAATAAATGTAGATAAATCGCCTCTTTTAGTAATCATGACTGGAACATAAAGGACTAAAGGAGAAGCGACAATATACAGAGTGCAAAGTGGACAGAGTCCGCGTTCGACTCGACATCGCCTGAATGTGAATCTCGGCATATTAATCGCTCCAGAATTTCCGTCGTGCATTCGCTCTATTACGTGACCGCTCTGACGTACTGATATGGAGAATAACACAGTGGCTTGTATTTGCACGTTTAGCGTTCAAACGTGACTTGGTACGCACGCGAATCTTCGAAACTTGCGGAAATTGGTGTATTCTAAAAAGGTAGCCGCCGATCTTCTCTCTACAGTTTGAAAAAGCTTGAAAATCTGCCTCGACAGATCTGCACCTGTGCAGATTCATCTCGTGATCTTGCTCGAAACGTCGTGATTAGAGGTTTGTTTTTTATTAATAAATTTTTATTAATAAACTGACCGCGCGCGCTACTTTGCGTTGGTTCTCTTGTCTTTTTCCAAGTCGCGAAAATGTACTCTTAGTCGGGCGATGAAAAACTTGGAAATGAACGTCGTTGGACGTGCCTCTCCGTATTAACGTTTATTACACGACACGCTACCTAATACATTATACAAATGCTCGACGAAAATGTTGACTTCGATTTATGCATACGGACGCGCGTCCGAGATCCGGGTGTATAGAGAGACGAATCTATGGAGTTTCCTTCTGTCACATCGCCGTGAATTAAGAGCTCTCTTTGAGCTGCCTTTGAGGCGAGACGCGCGACACGTCCGACATGTACATGTGTGTGTGTGTGTGTGTTTACGCATGCTCTCGTAGCACGCACAACGTGCGTACGGTTGTTGCTTGCACCGAGTGTCAATTAGTGATGCTGACGGGCGTTCCGACGGACGCTCGTGCCGGGATGAGCCGGCACGTTAATTTTAGCGTAATGGATCGATCTAGAAGAGGAGGATGCGTTTTTAAATAGCTTGCTCGTCGAGATGTATCGCACGCTTGTTATTTCGAAGCAGCCACCACGCGCCGCGCTCGAAGTATTTTTTCTCGCCGCGATTGCGAGCGTACGATGACCCGCCGACTAGACTTCATCTCGTATTATTTTGCCTCGAGGCAATCGAGTGTATAATTCAGAGCAACGGTTGATATTCCGTGAAAGTATCAAAGCTAATATTAATTGAATATTAACTTGTCAAACGAATCAAATCCTGCGTTCAATCCCATGAATCTGCGTTACGACAGAAGCCGCGCGCGAGCCCGAGATTTCTTTATCGCTATTCATGGTGAGAGCTTAATGAGCTTAATACGAAGAAATTATCGCCTATCGGGTAATTGGTGTCGGAAATGTGAAAATACACATACATTCCCGGCAATTAATACTCGTTAGCAACAATTAATGCTCATAATTTTACGCTTGCTTCACTTGATTGCTTTAAAAGTGACACACACGATGCATCTGCTACATGCATTTTTCTCTCCTTTGCGTTCCCCATTTGCCCCCTGTATATATTAAGGTACACGATAATTGACTACAATTAGCGACATCACCGTAGGATGCAACGAAGTCAGTTGAGAGACATCTCGTCCTGGATGACGCGCCTATTCCCGGAGCCTGGAGACGGTAGTAGCCTAATCGACGGGTTCAAAATGTTCGGCTCGAAAAACAGCTCGCCCACCAGCACATTTTACACCGATCTCGAGATCACGGAAGAGGACAAACAGGAGTTTCACAAGGACGAACATTCCAAGACACCGTGCTTGTCGGAGCAGCAGAGCGCGACTAGCGAGGATGGAAACTCGCAGGATTCAGACACGGCAACAGGTGCCGATGAACAACAGTATGTCAGACATTCCTTCCACAGGATCGCCAGTTTCGGCGGCTTCCCGAGATTTCAGCCGTTCGTCATGTCCGCTTCCACGCCGGCCGAATGCCTCGATATCACGAGGCACGAGGCAACGTCAACAGAAACGTCCTACATTAAGATGTCGCATAGCGTCCTAGAATATAGAAGCAGCAGGTAAGTGCAAGTTTGGTTTGAAGAAAGAACATATATATGCAGAAGCAATAATATAAAAGCCGTACAATGCACACATCATTCTCTGATTGAGAAAGAGTTCTCATGTGTAAATTTAAAACATTTAAAAAATTAAATACAGATACGTAGCCTCAGAGAGGAGGTCTCATCAGTATACATTAGATACGTATGCGGTAAGCGAATCCGACAGCGAAGAGGAGTCAGAGGAGACGAGATCTTCGGAAACAGACTCGGCGATAGTAGCAAATCATACAGACGACATATCGATATCGGAGCCCAAACTGCTCGCAAAGAAGGGTTCCTCGGATTCGAAGAGGAAGAAGGCACTGCATGTGGCGCAGGAGTTGCTTGCGACTGAGAAGAATTACGTGAACATTCTGCATCTGATCGACCAGGTGTTTCAATTCAGAGTCGACCAAGAAAATAGAGCGCATCCAATGTTCCCTCCAGAGACTGTTCAGCAAATGTTCTCTAATATTAAGTCTATTTACAAATTTCACAATGACTTTCTGTTGCCGCAATTCGAGAAGAGAATGCAATACTGGGACTCGAATCCGAGAATCGGTGACATAATGAAAAACTTTGCGCCATTCCTCAAGATGTATACAGAGTATGTGAAGAATTTCGACTACGCTATGAATCTGATAAACTCGTTGCAAAGTAAAGTGCCCAGATTTGCAGCGATCATTAATGAAATTCAGAAGCTTGACGAGTGCGCTAAATTGTCGCTACCTCATCATATGTTGAGTCCGATACAGAGGTTACCGCGATATGAGCTGCTTCTCAAGGATTACTTACGAAATCTTACAGAAGATAATCCAGATTACGAAGATACGAAAAGTAAATAAATTTATATGTATATTTTTCAAAATCCCGTTAAATATCCCGTGTATTTGGATATGATTTTCGCTTCGCGATTGCTTAATTAAGTGTAATATATTTTATGATTTATTATACAGAGGCTCTTGAATTGGTATCCACCGCTGCGAATCATACGAATGAAGCAATGAAAAAAATCGATAAATTTAAGAAACTTTTGGAGATTCAAGAAAGTATATACGATGCGACTGATCTAGTTAGTGCGACTCGTGAATTGGTAAAAGAAGGGCGTATAGTGAAAATTTCCGCGCGCAGCGGTGATCATCAGGAAAGACATTTGTTTTTGGTAATTATTAATATATTACTGTAAGATATATTGATATCTCTTATATGAAACGTATCTGTGTGTGTATGTGTGTGTCTGTGAAGCACTCAATAAGAATCATATGAGAGAATACAATCATTTATCTTTCCAGTTTAGTGATTTATTATTACTCTGCTCGATAAGACTGATACCCGGACCTTTGTACCGACTAAGAGCCAAATTTATGGTGGAAAATTTACAAGTAGTTGAAGGGGACAATCTAGAAACGGCAAATACCTTTTACATAAGGGACGAAAATAAAAGTGTTGAATTGTACACACAATCCGCTGCGGAGAAAGCGGCATGGCTGGACGCATTGTTCCAAACGATGCAAGAGATTATGAGACGTAAAGCCAGCCTGAAGACTGGCAATGTTAAGACTTCCTTAGTTAAGGCCGACGACGTAACTAGGTGCATGGTTTGCGAAGTTATCTTCTCTGTGATGAAACGAAAACATAATTGCCGGGCTTGTGGAATAGTGAGTATACATATATCCATTTTTGAGATGAGTTTCTCATTCTTTTTAAAATATAAAATGCATAATAATAATAATATACACAATTATTATAATCTACAATCTCCTTGTGCTCTTTCTTCACAGGTGGTTTGTAGTAAATGCTCAAATCAGAAGTTATTATTTGAAGACAATAAGAATATGAGAGTATGCAGATTATGTCATGCCGCACTCACTCAGCCACTCGCGAAATCACCAACATCACCCTCTGGACCAGTGCCAAGTTTGCTGCAGGTTTCAGCGAGCGCGCCTTCAGTATTATCCGGCTATCTGTTGCTGAAAACGCAGGCCAGTAAACCCTGGATCAGACGATGGTTCGCATTACATGTCGACTTTGTTCTGTATTCATTCAAATCTGAGTCAGAGAGTATGGCCATGACAGCGACACCTATGCCGGGCTTCATGGTCACCGAAGGTACAAAATTATCTGATGAGGACCCTCTGAACACAAAGGATCGAATTAGAGCATTCAAGATGCATCATTCTAGAAAGTGCTATTATCTCCAAGCATCTTCTCAAGAGGACAAAGACAAGTACGGCACACAGCACTTTACGCAGATTACGATTCTCTGCTATTGAATAATAATAATAATAATAATAATAATGACAATACGCACTCTATTGATGGGATATTTCAGATGGATGCACGCGTTGGAGTTGGCTACGAAGGCTGAACTACCTCATTTTAACCAGACGGAGAATGAAAGCGCACAAGAAAGTCAATCGATGAACGATGTACAATGAACATTTGTACCTTTTTATCTATACCAAACTAGCCAATTTTTTTACTATCATACTCGTAAGCGAGAGAAGGACACGGCAATGTAAGATAATCGTTAGTAGTTAATTAGCTATATTTAAAATGACGTTAACTTATGTTATATATATATCTTGTTATTAGTGTACACTACAAGAGAAATCGAGTCAATAGCGGCCGCTGCCGAAACGCTTGTTGTTTTGTATAATGTTCTGTTATAGTATATTTATAAATATATATGTCGTTCGATCATGATACGCTGTGCTGTCTGTAATTTCGCAATGAGGAGTCAATAAGGCGATGCTTGAGGAATGAATTACTCGCTTCAGTGATAATGCGTTGTCTAAGCTACGATAAAGTCGATTTTATTGAACGAATAATGAATTCTACAGTCTTATTAATAAATTTATTTGATTGTAGTCGACATTACATGGCTTTTTTAAACATCTCTAAGCACAGATCCTACCTGACTATACGTATAAAAATATAATTTCAAATATAATTTAGCACTTACTAACACGATACACTTGTACAAAATGTCGACACTAATTTCAATTAACGCGTTCTTTTTTCTTTCTTTTTTTTCGGCATATTCTCTTTCACAATTCTTGTTCGCGTTTCTTGAGTTTCACATTGAAATTATCAACTGCATATTTAAACAAATGAACGGCGACTTCTTTTCTCATATTTTTATTTTCACAAACGAGAGAATAATTCGAAATAAGTGTGATTAACGTAATTTTCATTATTAATATAGCCAGTCTTTGTCCTGAAAATTTGAAATAAAATTTAAAACAAAAGGACAAAAAAGAAAATCAGTATATATCACTGATGTGTAATAAATGTTTACAACTGACCTATGCATGATCGTGGTCCAATGCCGAACGCCAATGATTCGTAGAATTTTTTGTTTTCTGTTTTCTCTCTTAATGGAATAAATTTGTAGGGATCGTCGAAGTATTTAGGATCTTGATTCGTTGAATTTATAGAGACGTATATCGAGACACCTTTCTCAATTACTAACCCAGTCTCCGGCACCTAATGATAATGTAATAATTAAGAAAATGATTCTCATGTTAATGACTTGTTTGATCATTTATAGAATCGTATGTATTACCACGAAGTCTTTTATAGCTGTCCTGTCAGTGACCGGTAGGGGAGGATGCAATCTCATTGCTTCGTTCACAATACAATCCAAAAAGGACATCTCGTTAATCAATTCCATAGTTATTTCTTTTCCTGATAGGTGGTTCTTTATTTCCTCATATAAAATATCTTGATATTCTGGTTTACGCGCCAACTCGTAAATAGTCCACGCAGACGCGGTCCCAGTCGATTCAAATCCAGCAATGTGGAAAGCCATTACTTGCGCCAGCAAGTTGTCACCTTCGAATTCTGTAATAATGTGAATATTATTGATTAACGTTATTATTGATGTTATATAACAGGTATTTCTCATTGATTTATTAATTTATTCAACTTAATAATAATGAATTTGATAATAATAGTAGTAATACCGACAAATTTATATATATATATATATATATATATATATATATATAATATCAATATAGTAGTATATTATATATCAATATCATATAATTATTTCAATTATTCCACAGACTGAAAAATTCTTACTAAAAATAGGATTTTGTTCTCCATTTTTAAGCATTATCAAAAAATCCACCAAATCTCCTCTTTTATTTCCCATTTCTTCTCTATATTTTATGCTTTCGTTCCAACATTTACGGAAATATTTCACAGGCCATGTAGAGAACGGCTTGATTATGGGAATCAAATCGGGAAAGAAGAAATAAACTATGAACACTATGCTACGTGTACAGCCTCTGAAAACCTGTAGAGCTGTAATAGAATAACAATGTCAGTGTTACGGGTATATATATTTATTGATAGTACAAAAGTTATAAATCTTTTTATTTCAATGAAAATCCAGAACTCCGCGGCGAAAAATGAAAAAGCTCAAAACAACAAAAAATATTACCTGCTTCAAAAAATCCACGATCCTTCGTTTCGAATGCATTTACGTTGATGCCATATATCACAGAGGCGAGAACGTTGTTGATGTGACAAGATGTAATTTCCAGCGTATCCTGCGTTTTCCAGCCATTTTGATCCGCTGGTAATCCATCGATATATTTTAGCATAGGTTCCGTACATTCTCTCACTAATGGCATCATAGCTTTCAATTTCTGTCCGGTCAAGGCCGGAGTCAATTTCGCTCTCAAATACTTCCATACTGATTGTGACGTAACAGCAAGAAGATTATATAAATCCATGGTATCAGAGCCATCAAATGAGCCGAATCGCCGGTTTGGAAAAACATCGAAATGCCTGACCATTATTTGCTTAATAAGATCATGACTCCGTAAAAGTAACATGGGTTTATGAAAAATGTAGAAACCGATGTAAGGATCATCTGGGTCGGCACTCTCATAAATCTCACGTATCAAGTCCGCAGGTGCTTTTCTTAAAAGAATTAAATCCTTGAAATTACCGAAGATGAAATGCGTTGGTGGTGTTTTGACCCCACGTCTGCTCCAGTAGGAGAGTTTGTATTTAGCATATGCGTAGAAGAGAACGACGGATATAGCCAATGCTGTCGTGCAGTAAATGATGTAGCGATTTGATTCTATCACTTCCATGGTCAGCTGACTCTCGTTCAAGTATCTTTTCGCTTGAGGTGATTCTCTGAAACTGATTCGTTGTAGCGCTCCTCGCTTATAAAAATACTAAATCAATATACACACATGAGCTTATATATGTGTAACCTTAAGTGGAGTTCAACTGATTATCTCAATAACAGGATATTCATGAATTAGTCATCTACTCACGTATATTAGTTATCGTCAAAATCAATCGTAGAATCGTATTATCAGATGCGAACTAAACGAACCGAAATATAAAACCAAGGAAATCGATAATTCAATTGTACTTTAAAAAACGGATATAGTATCATTCATGATCAAATTTCTCAGCTTGATATGATAATTATTCAGCATGTTATTGCCAAAATGCTTATCACTATCACAAGATTCGGATTTATAAAAAGATTAAGACGATTGTTAGAGCACACAGTAGAAAATGCGATGACTATCGTAACATGATGGATATTAGATTTAGCACCAGATATATATATATATATATATCTTAATATCTGTCTGGTATTTCCGTTAAAATTACATCCGGTTGTCGAATATAAAATGCAAGACGCCACAGCCTGTTCTTTATTCGCTTGAAATTGTCACGTCCAAAAGATGTAGATTATAAAAAAAAATTCGCATTCACATTGTTCAAACATTTACCTCCTCGTAATTTAAAATTATTCACACTAATATCTGTGATCGGCTCTTATTTCTTTTACTTCAGTAGTATACTACAGATTCTATTTCTATGCATATTGTAATCATAAGTGTGTTCTTATATAAATTAACTATAAACTAGTTATTTATTGTATATATAAATTATATTAAGAATATGAATATTCTTTTATAAGCAAATAAATTAAAATTAAACTAACTCGATATTCGGAAACTTGTTATTAATAATAAAATAGAATTAAAAAATAATCAGCTCATTCATGTCAATTAAATGTGGAAAAATTGAAAATTGTTATTTGTGATTTTTTAGTAGTTTTTCAAAGAAGCTGGATACTGTAGCGATAACATTATCAGAATCGCTAGCCATTTCTGTTTTTTCGTCGAATATGTATACTACGTAATATCAACATTAATGTGCGCACATCACCCAATATAAAATACTATCATATCTTGTGGTTAGATATGGTCAATAGATGGATTTTTAGGACATGCTCAAGGGTAATATCAGCGAAGTATCTAACTTAAAAAAGCAAAGGTACATCTAGGGGAGACTATATTAAATAATCTACAAAATGCATATGTATAGATGACAACATATATACATATGTATATAAGAAAATAGTCCTCTCGTATTTTGTACATAATATTAAAATAAATATGAGTTAAAATAAATATGAGTTAAAGGAGGAAAGAGAGAAAGAGAGAGAGAGAGAGAGAGAGAGAGAGAGAGAGAGAGAGAGAGAGAGAGATATACTGAAATATAACTTTTTATACATAATGTTTTACATGTTGAGGAAAATACATCTATTTGGAAAAAATGTAAAAAAAATACTAATATTTTTTGTATATCTTTTGTATATTTTTTGTGAGTAAAGAAAACTACTAAAAATCTTACCAATATTTATAACACAAAATATATTTTTTAGATAAAATACAAAATAAGAATGTAATGTGTTGATATAAACAAAAGTTATATAAATTCAATATATAATGTCAATAAAATTAAGAAAAATACGCATACATATGATATATACATATTTGTACTCATAATATATACATATATATTTATTTATTTATATTATACATCACTGCTTGGAATTACTTTCAATTTTCATCTTTGAAAGTTTTCCCCGACTTACTTCCCTTTACCTCTTCCCTTACTACACCGCTCACCTGGCAGATGTATCAATTATGTTCTCCATCTCCAGGTTATCTTGGCGCCTGTATGGCGAAGTGTTTTGACTGTTATAAATAGCTACTGGATGGTTAAAGTCACTAGTCACTAGTCCAATATAGCTATATATAATAAATAAATTGCGCCTCGTAGATGTTATGATGTTAACGACCTTGAGGCGGAGAGAATAATAAAGCAAAGTAAATGGGGAAAAATCCCGAAAATCACCTAAAAGATAAAAATAATTTCGAGCACTGTTTTATATATATCTTACCTATTTTTTTTAATTTCATACAACCTAGATCATTTGTCCATCGTCACACGCATGTTCCAAAAAAATTTCATTTTCATGACATATTTCTTACTATATACGTTACTGCATTCGCTGTTCCAACATTGTATATGTATGTACGGAGAATTAACTCACATTGAAACACTGGTCGTATCTATTGATCCATAAAATTAAATATTTGCTCAAAGATTTTCTTGATAAAGAGAAAAAGAACTTTCTCGTGGCTAATGATAACGTTTTATTTGAAGCATTTGTCATCTTTAAAACAGCATACGATGACCCAAAATTATTTCGGAAATGTCCATGTCATGAAAAATGCTTCAAGAAAACGTCCTCTCAGCAATTTTAAAATAACCTTAAAAGCTCTTTTTAATTTAATAAGCGAATGACTGGTGAACAACCTGTATCATCCAACACAGCATTATCTTAGGAACGTCCGACAAACATCATTCTAGAATATCTTGGGGATATACAAATGTCCGCTGTTTTAGATCCTACAGATATCCTACGGATATCCTTTTTAGTAACTTTCAGTTCTTTTTTAGAAACTTTCAGTTTTTTAAAATTGGTATTAAAAGAGATAAGATATTTATAGGATCTAAAACAACAGACATTTGTATATCCCCAGGGTATTGGTGTCGGATGATGTCCCTGAGATAAAGTGTGCTGTGTGGGATAAAATACAGCATCGATGCAATATTATAACGAATTGTATTAAATAATATGGTATATCTATATATTATATAACAAAGAAAAGAAAAAATGAATGTAGCGAAAGCATCTGATCTACAACGTAAAGACCCAGTTGCTGCAGCTGTCACATATTTATGATATCTCTTCAGCGTAAACTATGTAACATCCTTGTATTTTTTATCAATATATTTTAAAGTTCTCAATAATTCATCATAAGCTTTGCATCCCGACTCGCGAAATGTATTGAAGAACGAAAGAGTTGGTGCAGAATGGTCTACATGTATTCATAGCGTGCAGGAAAATTAATTATGCTAATTATAATTCTCGTAGCATCAATAATCGGATCCGGTTTATTCGCTAATTTGCAAGTATAATGTGATGTGAGGAACGTAACATTTATTATAATAAAACAGACATTCGTACATCACCCACATATCTCACATTTTATCTCAGAGACGTCCGACAGACATCATTCTGGGATACTGCGTATCTTGGGAGTATCTTGGGAATATACAAATATCCGCTGTTTTAGATCCTACAGATATCCTACGGATATCCTTTTTAGTACCTTTAGTTCTTTTTCAGAAACTTTCACAGTTTCCGGAAAATTATTACTAAAAGAGATATTTGTAGGATATCTGTGAGATCTAAAACAACGGACATTTGTATGTCCCCAGGATATTATTATATAACGTCCTTAGGATATCAGCACAGGTAGATTCTAAGCAGATTCTCAGTATATCGCAAACGTAAATTGCGATTATTCCATGAATATCCGAAATACGTACTGTAATATTTTGAGAATATACTGAGAATGTTCCTATGTCCGCTTCCGCAGTCTACTCAGTATATACTGAGAATATTTCGTATTATATTGTAGGTATATCTAAATAATATTTTAATAATATTACTAGTATCGATTAGAAATATTAGTTTATTGTTAGTATATTTGTAGAATATTTATATAATATATAAATATTCTGCAGGCTTTCTTAGGTATAATAAAAATGACAAATTGGTTATATATATATGTTATAATATATATTTTTTTAATTAGTTTAACATATAAATGAACTCTTTATACATATATAAATAAACATATAAATGAACTCTTAACAAACTTGTGCTGCCTTTATAAACTATAAACTTTATAAATTATAACTCTTCATAAATTATATATATATATATGTAAAATCTAAAATAACTCAATTATTTTTTTGTTTATTTGCACGTTCCTTTGCATGAGCCAGCCAGATCTTGATGGGAGCAGAAATTTCTTCGTCTGTTGCAGTTGTATGCGACTTTCTTATCACACCTGGAATATAATATTTAAAAATCAATGTAATTAGAGAGAGAGAGAGAGAGAGAGAATGTGTGTTTTCATTAAATAAATATCTGTTCTCATTTAAGTTGCTTAAAAGAAAGTTGAAAATTTTTATGTTAATATAAATATATAAATAAAGAGATTACTTAAATATTTGTTTAAACATTTGGTAATTATTTAGAAAACGCATACCGCCTCCGATTTTGCTAAAACTCACATATCATATATATTTTGACTCATAGAAACCGGATCCAAAAGTAAAAATAGTTACTCAACTCTATAAAGCAAGAAAAAAATTAAGTTAAGGATAGAGGTATGATAGGTTAGGAAACCTGTCATTGCAAGGTAAAGTTTCTTCATTGTACTTACTGTATTAGTGTAGCGCAGTATACAACTAAACTTTTATAATTATTGTACATAAGATAGGACTTATTTTGAATTGTACACAAAATAACTCCTATCTTGTGTACAATAATTATAAAAGAATATATCTTTAAATCTTCGCCTTATATGTACTAAAATGGCAGATTCTAAAAAGGTTAGCAAAGGCCCCTACACAAGGGAGAGTGTATCATTAATCAGAAGCAGAAGAATGTAAGTATATGCTATCTCATTATGTAGGACTGATCTTGTTCCTCTCGTTACGCAATAAAATAACATATGCTATGATTCTTCCGCTTTTGATTCATGATACATTCTCCTTGGCATAGGAGCCTTTGCTAATCTTTTCAGAATCTGTCATTTTAATATAAGGTAGACTCATCACTTTAGTAAGGCAAAGATTTAAAAATATATTCTTTTGCAATTATTGTACACAAGATAGGTCTTATTTTGAATTGTAGACAAAATAACTCCTATTTTATGTACAATAATTATAAAAGAATATATCTTTAAATCTTCTTTAAATCTTACTAAATCAATGAGTCTACCATACATTAAAATGACAAATTCTGAAAAGATTAGCAAAGGCCCCTATGCAAGGTAACATGTGACAAAATTATTTATATAAATATTCTTAATTTAAGTATTTTCATTTAGTTGTTATACTGCACTACACTAATACAATAAGTATAACGAACAGACTTTACCTTGCAATGACAAGTTTCTTAACCTATCATATTCTATCTTAAACAATATTTTTCTCGCTTTGTAGAGCCGAGCAATGATTTTTTTTAATTCAGATTCGGCTTCTACACGTGAAAATACATAAAATATGTGAGTTTTAGCAAAATCGGAGGTGGCGTGCTTCTTCTAAATAATTATCAATTATGCTATTAATTAAAAACTAAGACTTACAATTCTGTATGTATATTCTGATTGTATATTTTACTTACATATAATTACTTTACACAATTGTAAGTTGCTGAAGACATATTTCTTTTTCGCTCCATACCAGCTGTATTCCATGGCTAATTCATTGCTGAAGATTTGTCTCATTAATCTTATACACGATGTTTTCAAATCCTCGCATACAACTCGAACCAATTGTTTAATCTGAAATGTAAGTACAGAGTTAATATTAGTTCAATATTTCGTCTAATGACATTTATTAATTTATATATATTATGACTCTATAGATCCTCTCTGAGACTATCTTTATTTAATTATGTCAAAAGTGAGAAATTGCACGACAAAAATTATTACAGCATACGTTAAAATAAAAAGATATGTCTATTAAACAACAATTTTTCTTCCAATCGAGTCAAAAAAATATGTAAAATGTTCCGAATATTTTCCTGTTATTATGATAATGAATAGTTATCCCTGACAGCACAAGAACTTCTGGGAATGTCCCAAGAACATTCTGAGGATATTGCTCTGTCCTCAGAATATATGCAGGATGTTCCCTGGATATCTGTGCTGTTAGGAATAATGCGTTTTAAAGATTTAAGAGTTTCTTTTAAACAAGAAATATGGTCTAACACACAAAAGAGTCTTATTAGAGACTCAGGATTCAAAGATATTAAATATTTTGGGAGATTTTACAACAGAGAAGAGAAGTAACTATGATTTAGGAATTTCAACGAAGAAAGATATTTTGTTACTTTCATCAACAGGTTAAGAGCTAACTATTATAATTTTAATGAGTCTCTTCACAGAAAGGGGTATATATAGATAGCACTAAGTGTGACTGTAGATATGAAAGAGAAAATATTGATTATATGATATAGTGGTGCAGTAAATATAATGAAGAAAGAGTTAAGTACGACGAAGAATTAAGGAAAAAAAGAATAAGGGATAAACATAGCATTATTATATGGATTAAGGAGGAAAATTGAGACGCAGTCTGAATAACTTATAACTATCAAGAAAATAGGAAAAATAGTGTAATAACCTGAAGTTAATTATTCTTGTGCCACATAACCCTGAAAGACAGGTTGAAAAAAATATAAAATTTTATACAACGAATTGGCCTATCTAACAAAATATCTATTGAGGTACAAATTTATTAATGCATAATAGTTAATGTTATTTTATAAATAAAATAATTATATAATTATTACCTTATATTAAGATCTTTGTATACGACGTGACTACGTGTGTTCAGATGGACACGGAAAGCAGAGAGTGGAGTAGAGAAGCATTAAAAGCCATCCAATCAGAATCGGGCCTCCGCCCGATTCTGATTGGGTGGCTCCAGACAGCACAAGATCTCCTAAGAACATTCCAGGGACGTCCTGAGGATGAAGAAACATCCCGAGGTCATCTTCAGGATGTACTCTGAACGTTTCTTGGATACCTGTGTTGTTAGAGACCTTCCACAATATAAAGCAATTAGTCAAAAGCCGTAAGCAAATTGACCAATCACATTTGATTATTTTTTAAATAATCGACTGTGGTTGGTTAATTTGCTTACGGCTTATGACTAATTGCTTATTGTAGAAGGGATATGTCCGATTAATGATTAAAATATTGTTGATAATATTAGAATATTTCCAGAATATTCGATAAATAAACTGAATATTATTGATGAATTACGTATATTCTAAAAATATACGAAAAATAATATACTACGAAAAATATTATAGGGATATTCTCAGTATATTAGATATATCTATAATATATTTAGTATGAAAACAGTATATACGAATAATATCATGTGCTGTGTGGAGACTCTGTGATCTCATTCCATTGTGACCTTGATGCTATGAAGGATACACTCTTTGATGATTCTTAACACTCTTTGATAATCGCTCTCAATATACAAACCACGGTTGACATATTATTTGCTCAGAAGACACCTTATTTTTTTGAATTTTTTTGAAATTCCATTCTCACCTATGGTTACGCAAATTCAGACTTCTCTCTGACTTGAATCAATGGCCGCGTTCAGTAGAACAAAGTGATCAGAGAGCGCTTAGTGATTATTGTTTGTGATTGGAGCATTCTTTTAGATTCTTTTAGATGCAGCCATTGGCTGCATTCAGCAGACTCAACAGTTGGACAACATTACTAGATTTTCCACTGAATCTCGCTCCTGATTGGTAAATACTTCTGGGTCTATGAAGAATCTAAAAGAATGCTCCAATCACAAACAATAATCACTAAGCGCTCTCTGATCATTTTGGCCGCGTTCGGTAGAACAAAGTGATCAGAGAGCGCTTAGTGATTATTGTCTGTGATTGGAGCATTCTTTTAGATTCTTCATAGACCCAGAAGTATTTACCAATCAGGAGCGAGATTCAGTGAAAAATCTAGTAATGTTGTCCAACTGTTGAGTCTGCTGAATGCAGCCTTTGTTCTACTGAACGCGGCCAATGAAGACAATCGATTCTTTGAGAAAGAAAGAATCGAACATCGACTCGTCGGTCGATTATCGATCTTCATTCGCGAGTGAATGGGTGCATTCAGTACTACAACCGCTCACTGAGAGCTCAATGAGCTTTTACATTTGATTGGTATATTCTTTTAGATTTAAAAATATACACCAATCAGATGCAAGAGCTCACTTAGCGCTCAGTGAACGGTTGTAGTATTGAATGCACCCAACGATATCCACAACTCTGGTCAAAACACAACTGACCAATGGGATTTCGAACTCTAGCCATACCGAGAAGGAAGGAAGGAAGGAAGGAAGGATGAGAGAATGATGGCGTTAGACGGCGAAACATAACCTATCGCCGTGACCTGTACGAGCGTATTAGCGTAGTTTCGTTTGTGTTGCATCGATTTTTATGCGTAAAGAACGCAGGGAAAGAACGCAGCGGTTTGTGTTGAGCAAATCGATCGATTGGCATGTCAGAATCAACGACGCAATACGATCTCCGTGCGCGATGAACGCTTAGTCGCGTTACACACTTCGGTATACGCATACATCGCGCATCCGTCACGAAGAATGGCCTTCCCGAAGCGCGGAGAGCAATGAACCAGTTATTATGTTGCCGTCGACCGGTTATTTCAAGACGATAAATTGCCCGTTTTATGACAGCGGATCGTGCGACCGTCCCTACTGTCATTTCAAACATGCCAGACGTGGTAAGAGTTTATGCCGAAGCAAAATCCTTTTGTCCTCACGGGCCTCTCTTCGTCCAGGTCGCGCAACCCCGTGTATCATAACCTATTCACGAGATTGGGCGAAAAAAATTTAACATTCTCTTTGATTCTTTGACGATTTTGAGACAAACTTCTCGAATGCATCGTATGACGTTCGTTTCAATTTTCTGTTACTCTCACGTGTCACCGAATTGCGTGCGAAAAATTAAATATTTAGAAGCTTCGTCGGTTGAAGCAAATGAACTCTGACAACAAAGACAAAGAAGATTGGAGAATCAACAATTCTATATTATGTTAATAAGAACGATCACGAAACAGTTTGTATTTACATTTATACTATATTACCATATCGGATTTTTATACTTGATTTTTACTTGATTTTATACTATTTCTGAACCCTTTATTATTGTTTCCCTAATTTCGAAAGTTTTGTATATTGAAGATGAAAGTTGAATTGGATTTATAATACTATAAGGCACTAATCTGTTTTAAATTTATATAAAAATTGTCTTAAAAATATATTTATGTACATGAATAGATTATTCCTCTGCTATATTGATAGAAACAAACATTAAAGGATTAGCAATTGTGTGTTATGTTAGTAAGGATAATTTTAAAACTTTTTGTGTTGAATTTATTATTAAAAAAGATACAATATAATATGTTGAATCCATGCAAAAAATTATTACTTTAAATATATATTTGTATACATCAAATTATTTACTCGTAACAGCTATCAACTGTATCTTAAATAAAAAAACTATTTTGTATTTTACACAGAAGATGGAGGAAGCTCAGCAGGAATGGCTGGAATGGTGGAGGCCCAGACATCAGGCCAGGCGCAAGAAAACAAAACCACTGCTATGGCAGCACAAAATTCTGACATGCTGCAACACCTAGTGACTGAAGCTGTGAAAAAAGTGCTCGCGGATAAGGAAGTCACAGATGCGGAGAAGTTCCCTGAGAATATTGTCTCTCAAGTGGTTGAGGAGCTCAAGCCGACTTTGGCTTCCAGCTCCGCTGCCACTATGCGCAATACTACACCAAATATAATAGGAAAACATATTGCGATTCCCGCACCTATTACGAAGCCAGTGGCATGCGTTTACAATCCCACACCAATAGCGGAACTGAAGAAACGGCATATACCTGTAGTCTCGTACATGCCAACTAGAGAAAGTAGAGTGGCTGTGAAACGTAAATGCTCTCCTGAGAGGGCTAAACAGTGGTTGAATGTAGTTCAAGAATCTGGCAGTTCTCAGCAATCTGAACTTACGTACAAACCTACTGCTATAGTTAACATAACCGATCAAGATGTCATACCAGATTATGTACCTACATTTAAATCGGACTCATCCACGTCGAATTCGTACGATGACGGTAACTCGAACGATTATCAATTGAAATTCAAAGAAGCGTATTACCCGAAATCTAAGAAGAGGAGAGAGGAATATGTTCCTAAAATGGTTAAAACACCGTTGAAAACAGCTCAACAATTAGACAACGTTACTGTGGATCAATACGAGTCGGAATTTGATATGATCGACGAGATCTTGACTGCCAGTCACACTATTCCTAATGTATTGGGACAGACCAAAGTGTTGTCCAGCGAGGACTCGCAGGATTATTCTTTGGAGATTGAACCCAAATTCTCGGACGACGAACCGGTCGAAGACATATCTAAAGACGAAGGTAACGCAAGCGTCAATAAGGTCGAACAAACATTGGATGTGAACGAAAAAGGGAAAGAGAATTTGCAACATGCTAAGATTGATGAACAATCAAGCAATAAGGATAATAAGATACACAACAATCATTACGATATTAAAACGGGTGATACAAAAAGTAGCGATAAGTCTAAGCAATATAAGGAAAATGACACGAGCAAATCGTCAGATGAAGGGAAAGAAGGTGTTAAAGAGAAGGACATCGATAAGGAAAAAGAAGTACACAAAAGTCATAGTAAAAGTAAGAAGAAAGATAGAAGAGATCATCACAGTTCTGAGAGGAGAGACAAAGACAAAGACAAGTCCGGGCATAAATCGGATTCCAAAAGCAGACACCATTCTTCCTCTAACAAGGACAAAGACAAAGATAGAAGGAGAAGCAGCCGTGATAGTAAAGAATCTTCACATAAAGATAAAGAACATTCACGAAGGGATAGACATAATTCTTTGAAGAGAGATCATGATGATCACCAAAAATCCAGCCGGCACGAGAAGCATAAATCAAGCAAAACAAGCTCATCTAGTTCTAAGTCGAGCAAACATACATCGAGCAAAAGCGATAAGAAACACCGTTCGGAATCGAGTCGAAGACCTAGCACTTCTTCCAGGAAATCCAACGAGCACAAAGAGAGCAGTAGCGAAAGAAATTCATCTGACAGATTTGATGATAGTCCTTTGAACAACACACATCCTTTCGTAGACAACGAAATTCTAGGAATGTCAGATTCTGATCATGATGTGCAAGAAGAATGTCTAAAAATTTTTCAGGTGAGTAATCTGTATATCTATATCGTTACAATTCAGAAGCTAGCCGCTACTTCGCGAACTCCTCCGATTATTCTATTTAATATTATCATTTACTATAATTTAATATTATCATTTTTACTCTGATCAACATATGTTATGTCAAACGAAAGTATCAAAATTTTCTCCACTTCATTCGTTGAAAAGCAAGATTTTGCACTAACGAAAGCATTTCGGACATATTTAATTAGCACACTATAGAAAGATATTTACTCATTTTTAAGGAATATCAAGTCTCCGATCATCCAAAGGTAGTATCGATCAAAGAACCATCGAAACGCGGGTCTGCTGAGGATGTAGAGGAAATCGGTAGAAAGAGAGTCGCGCATCCCTCTGCGACCACAAGCATTACCAAACATGTAGGTCCTAGTCAGCCACCGAAAAAAACAATAACTCCACAGCAGAAAATGTACGAGCGATGGCGTCTGATGAGGGAAGTAGCAGCTGAAAAGGCTGCGGAAAAGGCAGCAGCTGACGCAAAGGCTCAAGTTACATCCGCGTCAGCGCCTCCACCCTCCAGTAACGCACGCAAAGAGCATATCGAGTCTTCCACTTCATCGATAAGCAACAGCTACTCTCAGCTGAATGGGAATGGTAAGTTGATTCACTATCTCGCCCGCAGCGTTAAGCGCGCGAGCGCTTAGCGCGAAACACGACCGTGTACACGACTCGCTGTGTACGGAATTTGGGCTAATTGGGCTAATTGGTGTAATGTTTAATTAATTTTGCATATGTCTCATATTAATATCACAATGTACGTGTTAAAGGTCGCGTTAGGATTTCTTCTGTACCGTACGCGAAGTCTCTCGCGATGGAAAAGAAGAAAGTTGCAGTGATATCAGGAAAAAGCAAAGACGAGAAAGAAGAAACGGAGAGCAAAACAAAGGCGCAGACCACGAAGGGCGGCGTACGCATTGCACATGTTCCACAATCGGTATGAGATTAGGTTGCAAACTTTCGAAAGTTTATTAATTGTTCTGGCGCAATTTAAATGAGTGTGAGTTTCGTCGACATTGAGTCGAGATACGCACACGGCATTTGATAAGATATGATACAAAACGACAATACTACATGCATAATACAGGACGCGGTAACGCGTTATTCGCGGCAAAAAGCGAAAAGCCGCGGTAGCCAATCGCTTTCCGTTGTGTCTTATTTATTTCCGGAAAAAAGCAGGATGTTGATTGGTCACCGCATGAATCACGTTGTTCTTCGGAGTTACCACGTCCTGTGTCCAAGTCATAACGCCTTGTGATTTTGCAGATACCTCAGCTAGTACGGCCGGAACCGCTTCAAGTAGCCACCCAAAAATTTCCTTTGAACGTCCGCCAGTATTATATTAATATTATGCACGACATATGCGTGCAGATTTACACGAGTGGTGACGACGCGGCTGAGCGCGCTATCAAAGAGGAACTCGCGTGTCACGAGAGGTGTAAGGCGCTCGCGGTGTACAAAAATGCGTGTATATTAGCGACACACAGACTGAAGAAAGAGATCGATCAGAACAGATCGGAAGAAAAGTCCGCTGGGTCGAGTTGCGGCATGGTATCTCACGAAGCTGTACTCGTCGGCAAGTCGAAGGGTTCTTGGAGCGTGGTTAAGACCAAAAGGAATATCGTAGATTATAAAGGATCTGCACTCTACGGTATGCTCAAGAAATGGATTATGTCGGAGAATCAACTCAGAGAAAATGGGTTCCCACGTAGTCATCCGGATGGTCCAAAGGTGAAGAGTTCTTTTTTTTCTTTTTTTAATTACAAATCAAAAATAAGATAATATCAATGCAGATTTACTGAAAATTATGGAGTATTGAAACGGAAATAAAACGCTTAAAAAATAAAACGATAAATGATTGCATAAAAACTAATAAATTATCGAAAAGGTGGAGCAATTAACAATAAAACAATATTAAATGGCTGAAAAATGAAACGACACACAATAAGATAAATAAAAATGCGGGATGTATAAAAATGTATACAAAACAGATGATATATCACTAATTTACGATAATAATGATTACCCGAGCTATAAGTGTTATAATAGTAATGATATCAATTATAATATATATTTGGTAAATTAATACAATTTTATGTAAAGAAAATGAATATGATACCTTACTAATGATGCAAATTGTCATTTTACATGTAAGTCTATGTTGAATTTTATCGTTGCAATTTTGTAGCGTTGGTTTTTGTAGCGGCGGTAATCATTTTCCTCGATTGAAACGACGATTTTCAATGAGAATATGTCTTACATATTGCAGGGACGAGCGAAAGTGTACGTAATAAATTCACGAAACCAAAGTGTTTTGTCAAAAGTGCCTAACGAAAGAATGTGCAGCCGCTGTGGCCAAGCGTACATGGTGGATAGACACGCCTTCGCTGTGCAACAACAAAACTGTATATATCACTGGGGAAGAAAATTTACAATCAGAGGCGAGGGCAAATATAGTTGTTGCCAGCAATACGGCTCCGCCACTGGTTGTTGTGACGCGAAGACGCACGTATGGGATTATACAGATTACGAGAATCTTCGCGGTTACGTTAAAACTTTACCGAAAGGTGAGATATTTCCAATTTCTTATACTGTCGATGCGTCCTAGACGTATTAATTTCTCATTGACTTATGATGAATTTTATACATTGTGCGAAGATGTTCCTGTGGAAGAACAAGGCGTTTATGCGCTCGATTGTGAAATGTGCTATACTACATACGGCTTAGAATTAACCAGGGTGACGGTTATTAACGATGATTGCAACGTCATATATGAAACTTTAGTGAAGCCGCAAAATCCAATAATCGATTATAACACGAGGTGAGACTGTAGCAGGATTTAAAGTCAGACTAGATCGGGTTAGACATTATCAAAAATTTTGAGACGATGCGAATGATAAATTGATGAAATACCGGTTTATACGATGAGTGATTATCTATGTCGAAATAGGTTCTCAGGGATCACAGAAGAAGATATGAAAGACGTAACAACGACTCTTTTGGATGTACAAGCTACGCTTCTTACAATGTTCTCCGACAAAACGATTTTGGTGGGTCATAGTCTTGAAAGCGATTTTAAGGCTCTAAGATTACTCCACGATACCGTCGTCGACACCAGTGTTATGTTTCCGCATAAGAATGGATACCCGCAAAAACGGGCATTGAAAAATCTTTGTTCCGAATATCTCAGAAAACTTATACAAAATGATAGTAAGTTTGATTCTTGATAGTAAATATGATGTAAGGACGATCATTGAACGATAAAATAATGCGTTCTTCATGATGATCTTTTTTTCGTTTAGTTGGTGGGCATGACAGCAAAGAGGATGCTGTCGCTTGTATGGAATTAATACTGTGGAAAGTGAAAGAAGAAGCGAAAGTGCAGTGAATAGAACTATGTCCACAGATTTGAAATACAAGAACAAATGTCATCGCGTTTGCTAGTACGCCAGTACAGTCTGACTCTTTTGTAACGTAATGCTGAACGGTACATACTTTACTGCCGTATGTATTATATCTTGTGTATAAATATGTAATATACACCCACCGCGTCTGCTTTTGAGATCTCTTTTCAGGTTAAATTCGGGATTGTGTAGCTGATAAGATTCATACTCGCGACATGAACTCTTGACATTTATTAAAACACAAAAGAGCGCATTTGTCAATGGAAAATCGACGTGAGATTTCGCCGGTTCCGATACATAGTAATGCTCGGGATGCGTCAAATCATTTTCGAATATGTGGTGCAAATCTCGAATTGCTGCTTCGTAAGCCATTCGCTGTTACAAATTCTTGAGAATCTTGAAAAGATCATCTATTGTATACACGATTATCGCCAAACACTGTTGTCACAATAATGTTAAAGTCTTTATGTAAATACACACACACACATACACACGAAATATATATAAACATGTGTGTGTATGTATGTATGGTATGTGTACGTATGTATGTGTATACACACACATCTATATATATATATATATAAATATATAAATATATATATATATATATATATATATATATATATATATACACGTCTATTAAAATTAACTAGATATGTCTACAGACTAGACTGTCTGTTATCAGTACATAGGCATTCAAAAACTTTAGGTTTCAAATAACATTTTGGATTAAATTGCTTGAAGGATGTAAATGTGAATGCCCAGTACTATCGATATACGCATCACTATATTTCAATTAATATTTTTGTACTTCGTTATTATTACTTATTTATACTTTAAAACATTAAAAGGTCGAGACACTGCACATGTTCATTTACTGACCCAACCTTGCAATATATAGATATATACACTTCAAGATGACCTGCAAAAAATAAATCCACACAGATATAAGGATTATTAATGGATATTTCTTGTGTTTACTCTCTAAACACAAATGAATGTTCATTTTTTATATTGCAATTAATTCTTCATATTTTATCGAATTGATTGATTAATATATCCACTTTGTGAGAACTACTCTTGTTAACACGTTGACTGCCAACTACGAGATATCTCGTAGGTTGTTTACTTGCCTAGGACGCCTAACTACGAGTTATCTCGTCCCTTCATTACTTGCCATATTTGTACAGCTACGAGGAAACTCGTAGCATAACAGTGTAAATATGAATAGATGGCCTCAGGAAAGAGAAAAAAAAATGTTTTTAAAAAAAAACATTTTTTAAGCTTTTTGATTATTACTATGTACTATTATTAAAGTTTTTAATAATATAACATGATTAAATCAAATTGGCTCTTTCGACCGGAATCGTGAAAAATTCCGTGGCAGTCAACGTGTTAATAATCAATCTACATTCACGATAAATACGATATTTTAATCCGCTCAATCAGAGAAGAATCTCTCAGGACTTTGTAAAAAATATGTATCATGATGATACATGTGTATTTATTTCCGTGACATTAAACAGGCAAAACTTTATACGAAATGTATAACAGTATGACAGTTATATTCATTACGAGAATATTGAAAAAAAATTTAAGTGAAATAAAAAAAATAATTTATAACAAAGTAAAAGAGAAGGTAAACAATATATGTGGATAAATAAAAATAATGATACAATCGGCAGTAAAAAGAAAGTAACGACTGTATGCAATTTATAGTAAATGGAAACTTAAGTTGTATTATAACTGTATATATTTAAGTAATTTATATAAAATGCATTCAAAGAGATATTGAACTGTATAATTTATGTATGTAATTTGAGGATTCTAGAAATGAAGGAAACGAAGACTCGAATAAACGCAAGGTGGTATACCGTTTGATCTTATATAACTTGACATTATATATTTTGTCCACTTCTTTTTTTCTTTTTCGACATTTTATATCACTACATACAAATAAGTGTCATGGTCGTTCTAAAAACAAGAGGTAAAAAAAAGAAAGGATCGGTGAAATGACGAAAATGTGTCATATTGTCTTCTGTACATTTTCTTTTTATTATACATATTTTACAAAATTACATCACTGTTCAGTGAGATCTGCGTTAAAATATTTCTCGACTACTATGCTGCTCGACAATTTCATTTAACGATTGAAAGCATAATTTCAACTAGAGACATCGCGATTATTACTCACCGGTGCTCCATACTTCATTGTTATGAAACTCTTGATTAACGTCGTAGTTGACTAATCGTCATTATATATCTGCGAGGTCGATTTACGACGTGAAATATCTATATATCTCCTCTTCGTTACAACTTTAACACAGAACGCGTACAGGAATATATTTCGGGACAGTTCACAATCTCTCTGTGTCGAAACCGAATCTTAAATTCGCGTCTACAAAACGCACGTTCTTATAACATGATACTGTATACAAAATATTTCTTTTTCTTCTCGCTGCTTATATTATTGTCTGCACGTACTAGCTTGTCGTTCTAGTTTACGGTGCAAACGTTATATTAGGCTACAGATAACTTTCCTCAAGTATTTCCCATGTTCGTAAGATACTTTACTACGCCGAGATGAAAATTTTTACGGTCCGACGATCGAGTGGCAGCATCGTCCTTTACGATATCCTCCTCATTATAAGTGTATTACACACAAATAAAATGATTGGAATATATCTCGTTTCCGTTCTTTTTATTTACAAAAGTCGCTTTTGTACAATGAATCCTATATACTCGTTGTCAATTTCACATACAAAATACTTTTATGTATCTGTCCTCGAATTGCATATTATTGTCTGCATATCTATAGCACATTTTTCTTCTCGTTAATACAATCATTATGATTGTCGGAATTAACAAACATGTGCATATAAAAACAGAAGAAAAAACAAATATCGCTTGATGAAACAAAGCGAAAATATAACGTCCATCTATGACGCTATGAGCGAAAAACTCGGTGAAATATTTAAAAGCGCACGATCGCACAATAAAATATATGCACGTGATTTAAAATTCCTGGCCCTTCGCCGCGGAATCCTCGCTTGATTACGGACAACAGTGAGGAAATCAATACTGAGAAAATTTATACGAATTATATCGAAAGAAAAAGATAAAATGATACAACTGATTGGATACATTTATAAAACACTCCGATAACTTTCTTTCTTTAACAATCTCTAACAATCAATAAATAACCGCCAATTAACATAATACGCAAAATCTATCTCTTTTTTTAATCTACCCTTTCTCATAATTTTCATTCATATTCATTCTTCGTTTATTTATTAATTGTTTCAACAAAAAGAGAGGTTTCTGGAACATTTTAGAAATGTGTTCAATCGATCGCAAGTGCCATTTTATGAATATATCTTTTTATTTCGACATAATTTCTGTAGGAATTTTTAGCATTTATATTTTAGATTTCTTTGTTTCTAACGTTATCATTCAAGATGGCTGCGGCGAGAAAACAGAATCCTTAAAAGAACTCATTATTTTGGCAAATAGATGCGAGTCTACATTTTCGGATTTTACGCGACGCTACTTCAATCGCGTTGATAAAAGCACCGTGAGGCAACATTACCACGTATCAGATCTTCAAGGCGAGTGAGAAATATCTGGACAGCACGAACGTCGGACGAATTCATGCATTGTTAACCGCGCTAATGTAATCGTAAATTTCATCGCGCCCCGTAATTTTCTCCTCTGACAAAATATTATGTATTATCTCGATCGGATCTTGATATTGAACGCAATTTTCGCTGTTAAAACATACGCACACACATGCACGCACACACGCACGCACGCACACACGCACGCACGCACGCACGCACGCACATACATACACACACACACACACACGTGTCGGGAAGCGCATGTTGACTGTTCTGTTCGGCGGGACCGGATATATCTGTTATTTATAATCGCACTGTGCAATTCCAATAGCAATAGTAAAGCGATAATACTGAGAGAGAATGTGCCGAAAGGCAATATCAACTCAAATGTGAAAATCCTTCTCTTTGCCGCGAAGACTAAATATTAGTCCTCGACGCGCGACGATGCCTCTGTATAATACGCTATACAATAATATGTACATGGGAATATGACGAGGCCTTTCGTCTCTCACGGAATACCCTAATTTATGTACTATACAATGTGCTACCGTAAGCCGACAGGTATATCGAGCGAAAGTAATTTCGGCCGAAGTATATCTCCGTCTTAACGTTAAATAAACCTCTCCACTCTCTCTCTCTTTCTCTCTCTCTCTCTCTCTCTCTCTCTCTCTCTCTCTCTCTCTCTCTCTCTCTCTCTCTCTCTCTCTCTCTCTCTCTTCTCCTCCCTCTTTTTCTTTGAACACAGGAACGTGTGTTTTACATACGCCACGCTCGCAATTATGTCAGGGTGAATCAAATTATTTGCATAATGTCGACTGATCGCAACGAGACACTAGTTAAATGCACGTTTCAGCTTAAATACTACCGATCGCTGCCTCCTCGAAGCGACACGAAGCGGATCGTGCACAATTTCGCCAAGGTTCATCCTTGCCCGTCCTTTATAATCGCAATTTGCTATTTGGCTAACGATATTCCTAGGTGTGATTTGAATCCAGCAAAATTTGAATTAATTACTTTTCTATAACTGCGCGCTCGTCTCTTTTAGATACTATACGCTTCGATTATCTCGCATGTGTACTTCTTTCGTCTAATTACGATACTTCCAGTAAAACATCACGATACGTCTGCAAAATACAATATCTAATCCACGCGTGACACTTTGGAAAATGTACTCGTGTAATTCTGGACTAAATTATAGTGCTAGTAAACTTAGTAGCGAAGTTATCGATCACTCTGTCACACGAAATTTTGCGTCTTGTTAGCTCTCGAATTTACTATAACTTATGACACAATCGGCTCGTTTTATCTTTTTTTTTATTTGACCGATAATATGTTTGGTGACTGATTCTTCGGACGATTGTTCCATAAAGCCGAAACACTTTCCGCGAATACCCTTCCGACAAATAATTCGGAAAATCGAAAATGAAATTTGTGACTAGTTATCTCCGTACGACAGGAAGACTAAATTCCGATTGAACATGTCGCACACGAGTTGCAGCAGAAGTTTATATCGGCGGATCTGCGTTTGAAGATTAAACGAATCCGAGAGCATCTAAAACTTCGAAAAATAGGTCGCGTGGCAGCTTCTAACATCTATCTAAATTTCGTCGTATACGAAGGCAACTATTCGAAGACACATACGCGTTGGTATTACAACTACACGTACTCTTCTTCTTCTTCTTCATCTCCCTATCATTTTCACGCGTGTTCCGTGGAAAAATTGAAAACCTTGTTGAGCCTAATGAATATATATATATATATATATATATATAGCCTAATAGTTCACGCAGTAGTATAAAAATGGCTGCATCGCTCTTCACTGACAACTCTCGAAAAATGGAGAAGAATCTCCATTTCGATTTTTATTCGCGTTGCAGCGAAAAATTTTGCGCGTTCTTTCGTGAAAATTTAGTGTGTCGGTCTTGAAAATCATTCAGCTCTATGCGAAACTAATCTTAGTTAGGCTTTGAGTTGCGCTTGGAAGATATTTCCCCAAGTATATATCGCTGAAACATTTGCAACATTGCGCTGTTATTTCAAAGTGCAAAGTAATTCGAAAAATTTAATATTGTTATCTTCATTCATCAGCCTTGAGAAAGAAATTAATTAATCTCGTACTCTCTTTAGGCTTTCGAAGTTCGATGATAAAGTGAATTTCCTGGAAAAAGAATCTCCTTATCTATCGAGACACCTGCAATCCCTAGGTAAATTTACTCGCCATGTGCTACCGAAACGCACATCGACCTCGTATTATCTTCTGATATATTAGTAGCTAATTAAAACCTGAGTACGCCCACTCGACACTGACAAGGCATTAACGATCCATCGCTTTCGTCTATCGTCGTGCTGGATCTCTGAAGGCTCCGTTTACGCTCGTCGAGGATTTCACCAATCGTCGAGTGTCGTGACACCCGCATGAATAACGGCTCTTTCGCAGGCTTCTTAGGAAAATAATACAGCCGGTTCTTGCGACAGTGAAACGGCAGTCACTTTTGCGACCAACCGTCCATTGAACTCGCCGGCGGACTGGCAGATCAAAGACTGATTCGCAGGAGTATACTTTCAGACGACCACAGCCTCGTAGGAATGCCCATTCGGTCTGACAATTTCAACTTTTGCGCGGCTCGCCCGCCCGAAAAAACGCTATAGTTTGTGACTACCTGCAAAAGATCGTAGTAAAATTATGCGAAAATCCATGGCGAAATACCACCGTTTGAATAATTGCTTCCTTCGATTTCCCACGTAATTGTATCGATGATTAGTATCATAATTATGCTTAACATTGCGAATTTTGAAAATACGGTTACAAACACAGGAAATTCCGTTTATCGCAAATGTAAGTATAAATGTGAGTAGCAGTAGTATACAAGTAGAAAAATTAGAAATGAGTATGCAAATAGCGAACGCGTACACAATTGCCATTATCGTCGGCGACTGTGCTGTCATAGTCACATAAAAATTAGTCTTACTACGGTCAGGGTGTGATAGGCGCATCGAAATCTTGATCTCCGACCAGGTACAGAAATTGGAAGGCAATCGCGAGCAAGCTGATCCCGAGTAAGTCACCCATCGCAGTCAGGTACGGGATCGCCGAGTTGTCAGGATCGATCTTCCGCTTCCACATCCAGTGGATCATTATGTAGGCGATGTAGAGGAGCGCCGCAACCTGGAGCATCGCCGCGCACAAGTAAACAAAGACGAAGAGCGGCGTCATCGACGTGTCTCCGTCCTTCATATAATTAATCAGGTAAATAAAGATGATGTGACCGGGTATCACCATCGCCATTAGGACTCTCGTGGTTCTGGCGTGCATACCTGAGGAAAAGAAGGAAACGAGAGAAAATACGAGAAGATTCAGGTCGAGAGAGAAAAAAGGAGGAGAGAAGGAGGTAGAAATAATTTCTCGATTTTCTCGAATAATTACTTGTCACTTGATGAAATACAAGGGAGGAGGTACCTTTCCCGAAGAAGTTGGCGATAGGTGTGATGAAGATGACAGGATGGGTGTGACCCGGTGGGATTAGAAGTGTGCCGAGCTCCGCTTGCTTGTGAAGCGCCGTGGATATTCTGCTAGCCTGGACAGCCACGAGATTCCCGCCAACACCATTGATGACCGGTTGGAACACTGTCAGGTTCTCGAAGCGTGACACCATGAACTCCAGTATGAGACCACCGCAGCTGTGGTGGGTGAATCCCGCATATTATATGCAACTCGAAAGCTTCGTTACAACGCGCAAGTTTAATCACAAGTCTTTCATCAGCATTATTCATACACGTTTCGAAGCTGACAAGATATTTTTGAGAAATTCCTTTTACCTGCTGATCAACATGGCGACCATGACCGGTGTCCAGCCAAAGTAGAGCACGTCGTTGGTATACTTGTTCCTCTTGGCGATCCACACCCAGAGAGGTATGACGAGAACGTAACAGGCTATGACGAGAGGTGCCACCCAGTCTTGTTTGTCTATCGACTCGTAGAGTATGGTGGAGATCCATGAGAGGAGGGCCAACGAGGTGATGTCGCCGAGACTAGCGGCTATCGGCGTAGCCACGTTGTCCGGGTTGATATGGCAATGACGGGAAAAGACGATGACGCCCGCGGTGATAAGGCCCAGGACGAAGGAGGCGAGAGACGCGGTGACCAGGCTGCTAGCGCACAGCAGATATGCGTGATCCAGGTAGACTGTGCCGTTGCGAAGGGCGCCCATCACGATCGCTACCACGGAACCCAGGAAGCCCACCACTATCGCTTGACACTTTGGCAGGGAAAATCAAAATGGTTCTCAACAGCTCGCTTTTGCCCCGCTAGAGGTGCAAGGGAGAGAATCACACCAGAGAGGAGGTGAAATTATGTCCTCTCTTACTGATCTCCTCCGTTAACCTTTCAACGAACGCTTCACTGATGAAGTACGAATGGTTGCAAGCGTCACGCGACGTTAAAACGCGAGGAGCTTTGACACGAGGGAAAGCTCTCGTCTCTGAATTAATCTTAATTGGAACGTGTCTTAAGGGGTTAAAGCTTTAATTGTCGGAATGTGTGGGAAATAAAATGTCGCGCTGATGAATTCCCGCAAGATCTACAAGGTTGAGGAAGAATCCAGACTGAATCCGCCGCGGGAGAATTTCGCCGAGGGACGGAGTAAGAATATATCCTCCTCGTCAATTTCCCTCAGACGAAGCTCCGTGGATTTTTATGAGGAAACTTCAAGCCGCGGCGGCGCCGGCTTAACCCTTCGGGAGACTCCCCGCACGGTGCACGATTCAATTTATCGCGCGATGTTTTGTGAAGTAATCAGACGTGTAGCACGCGCGCATATGCACAAAAGATCGTACGGCAAACAGTCGGCTTGCCGAAGGTTGCCGCCTACCGTCAGCGTTGAACACATAATAAAATAAAATCGTGGCGCCAATGATGATAAGACGGCCGGAACGCGTAGCTCAATCGTTGCTAAATCGAGCGGCTAGGAAAAACGTTACTTGCTTTCCCAGAATCGTCCCGCCGTTTCGCAATTAACCGCTGCTAACCACCGCCGTCAAATCGCCGCGGCGCGGCGCATCGTTGTGTTCTCTGCCAATTCGCAAATTCCAGGAAGTACCGACCGAACGATCATCGTTCCGTGATTAGCGCGAGCGGCGATAATTTGTCGAAATTTGCGGATTAAACCCGTCGCTCGTTCTCCGTTGCGGTCAAACAACGGACTCGTCACTAAACGACACTAGACTCGTGCCCGCCAGTCTACCGTACACGCGAAGTAGACATCCTCGCGATTGAATTTAAACTTAAAGGGGAAAAAAGAAATAGGTAAGGCGCGAGGAGTGCGCCGGATATATTTACGATGCGGCAGATGATAAGACGTCGCGGATGATTAACAGCGATGAGATCTTTTTACGAGTGCGCGCGCGCGCGCGCGCACGCGCGCATTGTCTAGTTGCAGTTAACTCGTTAAACAAAACGCGGCGAGCTTCTCTATGGAAGAGTCCGGGAAAAATCCGGCGAGAAAACCGCCGCGCAAGCGAAGGCGGAAGTTTGAGGAGAAAAATAAACGACGTCGGACCGAATCAAGCATCTCGCCATTGTACTCGACGGAATGAAGTTACGACTCCTTTGAATGATAAGTGGTAAATATCGGCGTGGAACAACTAGTTAGAACCAGTTTCGCGGAGGTAAAGTCTGAATATAAGAGAACTGTCAAGAGAGAGGGAGAGAGAGAGAGAGAGAGAGAGAGAGAGTGGGTCTGCATGCGGTGAAAACAATGAATTCGATGTGAAAACGAGAACGAAAGATAAAGTCTCCGCTCGTCGAAAATGAAGTGTCTACGAAGTGTGAGCGAGATCGACAGATGAGCGGGCGATAATGACCCGTGCTATTTTGCATGAAATTCGCCATCGTTTCGCGCGAGGTTTGCAATGCAATATAGTTAAGATACTCGAAATCAAGCAATCAATCTAATTCTTTCTTATCATGACAAGTAGCAACGCAATAGGCACATGTCAGCCATTACTCGATCGAAGCAACTTACTCGAGGTGCAAAAAAGAGAGAACAATTAAATCATTAAAGTTATTAATTGAGTAATTAATTCAAACACTTTTGGATCAATAAATTCGAGAAGATCAGCGCGTGAGTCCGATCGAACAACGACTCGCGCGCGTAGATTCGCTAAGGTCGGACATTGTTATCTCCTCTCGATGATAAATATTTCACGATCACCAATCAGTGCCTACGTTACCATAGTTTTTAAGTCACGCTCTCGCTTATGCGATTCGCAGTCTCAGTGCCTGCATCGTGTTATGGAAAAAGTAAAAATTGCAAACGCGTCAATCGAAGGTCAAACGTCTTGCGACTGAACTGAAGAAGATAACGATGGTTCATTCGACGCTAGCGAAGGTGTTACTCTCACCTGTATTAACACGAGATTCCCGACGATCATGTGCCATTGCTCCCTCGGCATGTCCATGTGACCGAGGTTCGCTTGAGTAGAAAGACGGGACGCGAGGGTCATTTCCAAATTGCCTTTCAGTCCTAGAAGCGCCGGCACCAGGATCATGAGCTCGTTAACTTTCTCGAAGACTACCCAGTGCTGCGAGCAAACGCCAACAGTTAGCGATAAAAGAAAAGTAGACTCTACCGAGTTAATTGAACATCTTTCATGAGGAAAAAACATGCATAATATTAAATACAGAGATATACATATACGCAATAAAGCGAAAGCGAAGTATTTACCAGCGCAAATAATTTTACACGCGAACCTTGCGTCATCGGGGAGAATTCATTTGTCCGAGACAATTAACATTGTTGACTTGAAATTCTGGCTGAGGAAAAGCCGATACGCGTCGTCCATTCTATTAATTAATTCTATTAATTGAAAAGCACGGCGGCGGCGGCGGCGGCGGCAGCTGTCGCGTGCCGCTGAATCGCCCCCGCCATGAACTGCAGCGACGTTTCCACGAAATCGATCGATCGTGTTCCTCATGAAATATTTCACTCAGGCAAGGAGGCGAGACGATCGTGTACTTGAACCAGGTCGAGGACCAATCCAGCGCCCACCATGCCCAAACCGGCGATAAGGAATGGTATGAAGACTTGGATCGTAATCGCCAAGTACGACTCGAGCGGCTCGTCCTCGGTCACGCCGTAGATCTTGCTCTCGGCGACGACGTCCGGCAGCCGGCCGCCGTCGGCGGCTTCGTCGAAGATGGTTACCTCCAGGCACTCGTCAGCGTGCCCGCTGCCGGTGGAGTTCGCTTGACCGGCTTGTCCGTTGGTGGTGGTATTCGACTCGGAGGTAGTTCGCGAACGGCTATCCGTCGGTGTCATCCTGATGGAGTTTTGCTTCTCCGGAAGCAGAGGCTCTTTACATTGCTCACTATCGACAGAAAGGAGATTTCTGCTGAATAAGACGCTGATTTCGTTGGCGACTCGCATAAGAGATGTATTAGCTGGTGTCGAGAAATAAGAGTGTGCCGTTGCTACGGGAGTTTCGTTAACCCTTGGGCCACAATCGTCGGTGTGCGATAAGCTCAAAGCATTATGGTATCTTGAAATGGGACCAGGAGAAACGTCACTCTGTGACTTTGGGAAAGTCAAGCTGACGGGACAGAAGTTCCCGCCGGTGTCAACTCGCGAAGAATGATGGAATAAGTAATCAATATAAATCTCCAAACAGTCTTCTCTCTACGGAAAAAAGAAAAGAAAAAAGGAAAGGAAAAAGAGGTTTTTTTTTCCATATTTCACACGATTCAACGATATTTTATCGATGCAATAAAAAAAGTTTTACTTTTTAAAAGAGTCCGTCCCAATTTTTATTTGCTCATAGATAATTGCCTTGGATTGTTGCTCGGGTGAAAAGTTAAAATTACTCGATTGTCATGATTAGCGCATGTTTTCAGCGATAAGGAAAAAGGAAAGAAGCGAAAGATAAAGACAAAAGCTGCGTGCTGAGCGACAGCGACAGGGATCGCGATCGGCACTGAGTGAATGAGAAGCGTGCGGCGGCTTCGATCGCGATGTGCGCGATGATGATCAATTGTCGCGGGTGTCGTGTGTGCGTGTGTGCGTGCTGATTCCACAATTAAATAAATCTGCCGCGCGATTTCGCGATCACGATTCCATGCCATGGACACTGTTCATCCCGCGACATTCAAAAACGTCGGCGCACCGACGAGAAATAACGACGCGCTCGCGAGAGCGCTGTTACGTTTTTCAGCGATTCGCTCGCGTGTTTGGTCACTCCATCAATTTTCCGGACGGATTTCCGCACCGTTCCTCGCACGTTCTCGTCGGCTAACGGACAACGATACCGATATCAGACATACTTTTCGAACTTGACGCACCCGGCACTCGTCTGGTCATGCTGTGGCTTGTCGGGCGGCACTCGTACCGGATGTTGATGCACCTGGCCCTCTATCATCTTCCTACTGAGGGCTGCGTGATACTCGCTGCCGCGAATATATAGCCATTCTCCTTTGAGAATGATAAGGCTCGCGTAAGCGCGCTAGCGTTCGCACTCTCGCCGACGAGACGGTTATATTTCAGGACACAAACAATGCAAATTACGTAATCTCGCCACGAGGGGAGCTGTGCTATCTCTCCCTCCCTCTCTCTCTCTCTCTCTCTCTCTCTCTCTCTCTCTCGTTCCCTTCCTCTTTCTTTCTTCTAGATCGTCGATTAGATTCACTTCAGGAATCACTGTTAATCATGTGTCGAAAATCGAAATATGGGCCATCCAACGGTGCCGATATCAATCCAAGAAAGTAGGAAAGCCTCTTACTGCGGTGGACCACTGTCAAACAATCGTCATTTTAATGTAATCGCGAGCTTAGCCGAGCACGCAGTGTGTATAATAAAATCGTGTAGACTCGCCTACGTAAACTCTTCTTCGGAAACTCGAGGAGACTCGAGATCTGTTTGAGAACGTACCACCGTGTGTAGGATGCCATAATTGACGATCCATAATTTGGAATTTTCCAATCGTCGAGGACAACTTCGATTTTTAAGATGCAATAATCAATCCCAACGTGCGAGAGTAAGTGCGTTCACGAAATGATGTTCCGCGTGCAAACGACAGTTTGCCTTCGACTACGGCTGTAAGATACTCTGATTGCGTGTCGTGTAATTATGAATAATTATTACCCTACATGTAGATCAGATAAATGATATTGCAAACATGTTTTCGCTTCTTAATTAATATGTAACACGCTCGGCCTTCCCACCCACAGTCAAGTTCCGTCACGATACACTTCGTTTTGTATCGCCGCGATACATTCATGTGTGACGAGCGTATCATTACGTGATTATAGAAATCAGCGGCCGCTCGCCGCATCGCGACTCTTTAATTTGTTCGTCGATACGAACCGACTTTTGCGCGAATGGCAAATTTCCGATTTCGTCTGTGTCCACATCTGAAATCTATAAACGCGACTCGATATCGTCGCGCTGAACACGTCACGACGACCGCGATAACGATGCTCAATCGTCGGTCGGTGTGTTACGCGCGGAAATTGAAACTGCAAACTGCTCGATTAAGGTCATTTGATTAAGCAATCTTGCTTTGTGTTCCACGTCTTTCGTAATTCTGCCTGCAATATTGGTGCACTGTGTGCGTGTGTGAGACCGGAACAATCTGCACCACTGCATATGTTATAAAGCAGAAAGCAAAAAAGGACGTGTGTTGCGCGCAAAATCATCATAATCTTCGTCAATGTTGGACGAATGAAAATTCAGTGTTAAAGAAATTCGTTCTGAAATTAGACGAGACTCAACAACCTGAGTTAAAAAACCGAGTATCGGAAAGTGACTTTTCAAAATTGTCGAATTCTTCTCCGTGTTTTCTTCAGTTTCTTCAGTCATCGCCACTCATCGCATTCGCGACTCGAGAAGATTAAAGATCTCTACCTCTTGAAGACCAATTTCTACCAAGTAGAACACTATTAAAATGAATGAATCTTTATTATGTTCGACGAGAGACGGTTAATGTATTTATCAGCGAAGATAAAGATAAAAAGGAGAGCTTAATCACAAGTGATCGGTGAAGATGCAAATTTCGTAGATAAAGATCAATGCGCAACGCGGCGAGGTCGTTTGACGTGATCGATCACGTGATTATTTGATATTCATTGTCTGGTTAGCTGCACCTTGCGTCATGCATCGACCGGCTAGTGGAAGAGCGTGGACAGCTCTGAAAAGCACGTTACGTCGCGCACGGATTGCACGAGTTCTCGTAACCTTAACCTACGCGCAATCAAGCAGCCGGAGAACCTCGACTCGGAGCGCATACGACTATCACCGCACTATCTGCATCTCGCGTCCTTCGCGTCCGTCTTCTGAATCATCGGCGAACAGGTAGCGTCGATAACGCGAAAGCAGTCGATTCTCGTACGCGCTTAAAAATCCTCGGCTCGGAATGCCGCTCCCACCGCGTTTCTTCCGCTGTGAACCTGGCCTTAAAAGAACCCTCGGGAATACGGTTAATAACGCGTTATCGACGACTATCTGCGCGTACTACCCGAGATAGCCAGCTATCTTCCTCGTACTCTATGTACTTTGCCTCGTGCAATCGAGTTCAACATCATGCGCGCACTAGGTAACGCCCTGAAGGGACGAAAGTCGTCACCGATCGTCACGGCTGCGGGAAGTTGAAGGGATCGGCTCGATATAGCCACCTCGTCTACTTGCAAACAAAACCTCCGAGAAAAACGTCCCCAATCCTGTACTCGATTTTGCACTTGGCAAAATCATATATTTATAACATTTTGTTTTCAATCTTGAAAATCAGTCACCGCTGTCCCAGCTGTCTCAATGATCCTTCCAGTCACTGTTCTGTTCGTTATTACTATACACACACATTAATGTCCTCCTAAATTACAGCTATATAGCTAAATTATAGCTCAGCCGACGAAAGGTTTCGTCGAAAATCCATTTCAGCTGCTACTTTCTACTTATGACATAAAACTATTTCAACTGTGCTGCAAACTCGACTCAAGCCGACCAACTATGAATATCCCGCGATTTTTTCGCTGAACAAAATGTAATTTGCAAACATCGACTCTACAAACGACACCGTATCTCTCTCTCTCTCTCTCTCTCTCTCTCTCTCTCTCTCTCTCTCTCTCTCTCTCTCTCTCTCTCTCTCTCTCTCTCTCTCTCTCTCTCTCTCTCTCTCTCTTCACTAAAAGATGTCCCAACAGACGCTAACACGTTGCGGCTGTCTTCGCGTACCTGGATTCTCAGACGTGATTTCGACGGACGCCCGTTCCCAAGGACGAGAATCCTTCGTCGAGCCCTAACTAGATCGTTGATCGCCGGCTTCGTGAGCCCGGTGAGCTCGGTTCTTCGGCACGAATTCAGCCCACGTCGAGCATCTGATGGTGGTCACCCGGTGGCCTGGTGCGAGGCCGTTTCACGCTGCGGTTACATCGCGACTGATCGCGATCGTGCATCACGCTCGCCTTCTTAAAACTAGTTTGGGGACACATACGGGGTATCCGTGTGTGTCGGCAGTGCCGGACGGGGCAGGCGCGAGTTTATCGATCCACTTTCCAGTTAGACCGTCCGCAAACTCCTCGGCTGCACCACTACTTGGCCGTCGTCATTCACCAATGGCGAGTCGGCTCTTCGTCTTCGCTCGCGTCCCTCGCGTCGCGTTGCTACAACTCTCCCTAGAACAGAAGTTTGGAGGTCCTGCTGACGTCACTGCCGGAATGTCCTGCCGAGCAACGATGCTTGCGTCATGGTTTATGTGTATTAATATTGTGTTATCAGTGATCTTATTGCACCTCTCATGCGGTACACTTGACTTTAGTTAACCCCCCTCGCCGCGCCGTTTCCCCGGCGAGTCCGGAAGGGCTGTCTTCACATTTGAAATTCCAGTGACGCTCGTTCGGCATGTTCTGTCGCACACGTTGTTGCGTCTTGCGTCCTCGTTTCCTCGCATTCTGCGATCGCATTGTGTGATTCACATGTGATTCCATTGTACTTTCCGCGCCGGTTTATTCACTCCTCGTTGCCCTTTGCACAATCTGGACGAATCGCCTCGCACTTGGAATTTCAGCGATCTCGCGTCAGCTGGTTCTCGCGATATACTAACTTATTTTATGATGTTATCGAATCGTCGATCGGCATATTCTATCCTTGACCGTCGCTTTTAAGGTGCGAGCGTTTATCTCATTTGGTTTCTTAGTTACTCGCCGAGGCTCCTAATTGAGAAAACACGATACGGAGCAATCCATCCGTCCGCAAGTGACGTCACATGTGACGGTTATATAGCCATCAGTTACGTCATCGATCAACAGCTGACGCCGCATTCGCAAAAGCTTCTGATTCATTCATGGATTTGCGATGCGCCTGCAGGAATCATTGCGTAATCGT